AATTATCTATGAACGAATAATTTATTAGCATTCATTCACGTTTTTGGCGTTCAATAACACAAATAAACGTTTAGAAACATATTACTAAGAACAAATATTCTCTTGTAGCTAACAGTGCCCGCTATTTGCCAAATCTCAACACACCAGATTTTATTGTTGTAATAGCCACAGTAGCTATTATTATTGGATAAAACTGTCTTTATTTCTTTGAAGAATTCTGTGAAACTTTAAAATCTATATTAATTATGACAGATCTCTTCTTTCAGTGTTCTAGTATGATAAAAGAGACTCTAAATTGTTCTATTTTATGACTGGTTTACTTCTATGACATGAATTGTTATGTTTTTTTTGGGAATTTAAGAAGAGCATCTTTACAAGTTCATGTTTTTTATACTCATAAAACACCCTTTTTTCATAACATTTTACATGGATGAGAAAGCAAGTGTGAAATCTAAACCTCTGAACATGTTTAACACAAAGGATTTAATTACATTTGACAATTGTTTTATAAACACTTCATTCATTCAACTTGAACATCATTCAAATGAGTCAATAACTTAGTATCCAAAAAAGACGTTTGTTTGTAGATCATAACTTTTATGCGTGCAATGAAACAGAACGAACTGATCTTATAATATCAACAATTTCTCGTCTACTAAAAAATGAACTTGACTTTAACAGAAATGACTTGGAATAAAACACACCGCATTCTACTGCTCGGTTGGAAACAAACAGTCAACACTTCATTATTTATCAAGGAGAACGAAAAATTTAAATATTTGTTGTTAGTAGGAAGCTACTTTTTCCACAATGTCAAGTGAAATAGAACAAACATCAATCATTATTCTCAACTTATATCATTATTAAATTAAAAGTTAATTTACGTATCTTCCAGAAATTGACAGGTTTCTTTCTCTCAGAAGTTAGTATATGTACACATCAACATTCTTGTTAAGCTTTTTCAAGAAATGAAACCTCTCGAAATTCTTTAACACCTTGTATTCTGTAGCTCGCCGTTAAATGAAAACATTTAACACTTTCGATGTGATGTCTCTGTTAATCGACATCAGTCATTAGTCTTTATATAACTCTCCGAATTTAATCTAGCGGAAAATATGTGAACAATATACAATTTGAAGTGGATTATGAATTTCATCTTATATACTAGCACGTTCTTAGAATTATGGTTCATTGATATAATCAATATCAATTATATATATTGATTAATAAATAAATGACGCTAGAAATTATAAATAACACGAGATAGAAAGGATTGATGCTGTTTGCTAATAATTATGAATATTCTGTCATCAAGTGAATGCATAGGAGGGTCGTTTCCGCGCCTCAAATTCAGTAAACCGACACTCGTTTACCTCAATGTAAATATCATTTGTTGATTATAGAAATGAAACATGTAACTACTCTTCGATTTTTATATAAAATCATCTCGAGTTACAGCAATACTCAAATTTTTCAATATAGCTCTAACTTCAAATATTTCAAAAGACAAGAATACCTTCACAGTGAAACATGAGAGAAAACGTTTTTAAACGTACCAATAGAAATAGCGCGAAAAACTACATAAGAAACAGTTTCAGCTACGAGGTGAAAGTCAAAATGAATCTGATATTCCGACGTTTAATTGAATATCAATAGATATCAAAATCAAAGATGTCATTGTTCATATTCATAAATAATAAATCACATTATTCATTCCAAACGGCAATGACTCATATTTGCTTCTTGATGATGTTGCAACTTCCCAATAGTGCAGACAGGATGCAAAAGTAAAAATAAGATAGCGATCCCATCAGATGAAGAATATGACTTATTAACATCTTGATACCGTAGCCGTCATTAAATCACTTTGAGCAACTAGACAGAGCTCCGAATGAGAAAAAGATCTCAAGAATAACGGGGACGGCACCATATATGAATGTTTGTGTCTGTGACTGTCTGTAGGTGTCTGTAAGTGTTTGTGGGTGTCTTCATGTTTTACTTTTACCCGTTATCGGGTCGGCATTTTGACAGTCAGATCGGGTTCGGGTTACGTTTTCTTAACCCGTGTAGGTCTCTAATCAGTACCAAAGATATGATGGCGCTCGATTTCAGCTTCAATATATTATCTGATTATCACTTTTTAGTGAGCCGATCATCTATTTTCAGGTATATTTTTTGCGAAAAGTCGCTTAAAATTATAATTACAAGCATACTCTCTAAAAAAAAGCGCTTTCTTGAAAACCAAAACAAGACTCTTTGGGGTTTTGGAAGTGACGAAAACCGAAAGGATATCTCAGAATACAGTAAAAGGTTCCCAAGAATTTGGGAACCCATCAAGTGTTGGAGAAAAATATTCAAAAACAGAGAAGAGTATCTCTCGAAACCAAAGTATTGCCCAAAACCCTTTTCAGAGTCAAAATTTCTTCAATAACCGACAAAGTGTCCTAAAATATCCTATTCTTTTCCGGAGTGCATCCTCTTCGGTAGTCGGAAGTTTTTCTCCAAAACGCGTCGATCTTGGATCCTTTGCGTTTCAGAGAGAATCCTTTGTTTTATCGTTCAAAATTAATTTAATGAAATATTCAGACTGATAACGACGCATTCATAAAAAGCGTCGGCAAAGAATTTATGGACAACAAGATTAAAAGTTCAAGAATTCACTGTCACTGAAGCAGTCTGTTTATAAAATCAAATCAAAAGCGGACCAGATACAACAGACAAAGCAACATTTACAGATTTGGAAAACCGAAATATTGTGATCAGTGTGGAAATTCAGATTAATTTTCTTCATTTCCCGGCTAAAGCTGCTCAACATAGAAGTTGCAAGATTGCGAAAAATCAGTCGACCAAGCCTCGTACCACAATTGAAAAGACCGTCATTTGGCAACAGTGGGCAACTATCAAAAATATAAAGATCAAGAACAAAAAATGCTTCAAATTGCCATAATCCTGATGATTCCGAAAAATATGATTTTAATAAACCACAGCCACGAATTCAAAGACCGCACGAAGATTGAGCATTATCAGTCGAACCAGCAGTAATAGCAACAAAATAAACATCAAAAGACGCGTAAAACTACACATTATTCCTGTACATGATCCAAGTTTAGTTAGACAGCTAGATGAGTTGGTGTCGAGAATTTTTGTCACATAACTTTCCAAATAACTTACTATCATCACCTTCAAACAAACACCCAAATTCTATTCAAAAAAATGGATCGTAGTTCAAAGCTAGAAACACGGAAACAACTAGAACAGGCAACGAAACACTTCCAACCCAGGGCTGGCTCAAACTTTATTTGCCCTTGCCCACTAGAGTACTTTTTGAGGGCCATGTGTTTAGTTTTTTCTTAGCATTTTTGAAGGCAGAATAAGCCGGTGATGTTACGGCTCTTCCAAAAATCTGCAGGTTTCGATTTTTTATCCCGGTTTTATTTTTTGGTTGTTCACAGGCATTGACAACTAGTTTGAGATTATTAAGTTGGCGAGAAAAAATCTAAGTTGTCGGGTAACAATAGTTTCTGGTGTAAAGCCCATTTTTTCATGAACAATTGGCAAGAAATGTACCTTGACAAAGGATCAGTTCTGATGCCTTGGTTGCAAAACATAATTTGTATGCGTGCTATCGAAGGCGGGAAAGCGATATTACCAGTAAAATATGGTAAAACGCAAACTCATTTCCAATTTAAAAGTGAAAGATTAACTTGAAAAATTTTCCAGAAAAGAAGCCGAATATTTTTTCCACTTTTCAGACCACTCCAAATGGCAAACCTTCATGTAGACCTTGAAATCAACACCACCTGACATTGTTGAACACAATACATTCATAACAATACATTCATAACAAATTTTATCGGCAGCTAGATCTTCAGGTGTGAAGTCGCTAAAACCACTTGAACCTAGTGAAACAAATAAGAAACACTAGTCATACAAACGGTACTGGAAAAACTAAATCTAGTAATGATCTAAAGTAATCTATCTAAATCTAGTAACGATCTAGTAATGATGAGAAGTACAAAGCACTACTCTCGAACTCTATTCCCAATGATTGAACAAAAAAATTACTGAAAAAAATGAAAAAAAGTGATTTAAAAAACTAATGCTTTATTTAACGAACAAATAGATAAAATCAGTGAAGATACGACTACTGTACAAAAATTTCACAACACACGAACAAAACAAGCATACCCGAGTACTCTGAATTATCAAAATCTAACTATTACCACTGACAACAAGAAGGCAAAGATATTTGCGATGCATTACGAGACCGACGTCTATGGTGAAAAGCCCGATCAGCTATTACACCACATTACAGTCATCGTCAAAAACATCAGAAAATCGAGCAAAAAATCAGAAAAAGAAATTCCGACCATAACAAAGAAAGAAATCATCTCATTCATTAGACAATTCAAAAAACATACTTCGTCCTGCTCGAGCAATGTAATTACGCATATATCATTTTACTACTGTAACTGAAGAAAAAACACGCACGATCCGTCGAAGTAACGATTAATTAGTCTGTTAAATTGCACCTTAAAAATTCCTGAAAAAATAATAAAAGAGCTATCAATAGCAAATCCTGATGAATGTCCTCTCTCATCATCTAGCACAACGTTGGGTAAGAACACGATATATATTCTTCATTCTGCACAATTTGCAAACAATCGAAACATTCCCATCATTTTCATGGAATTAGACATGCTCAAGCTAAACAAAGTAATAATAATAAAATATTTAGAAAAATGTAAATGCAATCATCCGTGGCATAAATATACAAGATGACCCTTTAGTCAATAAAAAATAGCCATTTTTCGCTTTTCAGCAATTTATTACAGAAATTATTGAGACCCATTCTCAGATGAATAGTTAAGCGAAGAACCGATATTACGTTAAAATTGACAGTATGCATAAGAATAACTTATCTCAATCAAACAAACACGGTCCATATTTATTTAAAAATTATCAATAATAACAAAACAACTTTCAACCAAAAATTCAGATCATAAGTTATTATTTAAAAATTGGACAAACATTGTCGTTATATTAGTAGCAGTTTCTTTCGATGGTGGATGTGTCTTAATAAATTTTAAATACTGCTGTCTAATGCGACGTAAATCTGATGCTGAATGTGAGTGATTCCATATTATCTAAAAAATATTGTAAACTTTAACATATTGGATAGTTAGAAGCAAGTAATTACCTTCTCATTAGTCAATGGCACACTGAATTCTTGCCCGATAACAGCCATTTTACTTTGTTGAACAATCGACTACAAAAAAAAGAAATCTAAGCATTTTTCATTATTATCGACATCTACTAACATCAATGGCATCCTGAGTTAACTTGTCCACATCATACAAAAAATTTGTATCGGAGATTGGCAACTTGAAATGAAAAAAACATAGCAGAAATAAATGATATGTTTTTATTTAGTAATCACTTACATTCACGGTTGATTTATTCGGAGGGGGTGGTCGTTTATTTAACAAAAAATCGATAATTTGTTCACATGGTAAATTCATTTCGGGAGTAATTTCAAACAATGGTGAATCCCATCTATTTTTACCATCTGGCGGTTCGAAACGTTGTGTTAATGCATCGAAACTGGAAGTAGAAAAAATACTAATATCTCCTTTTAACTAAGCAGGAAAAAACAGGATTATTACTTTACATTGGTTCTGCATAAGCTTCTGAAGAATTCTCGAGTTGCCGCTGATTATTCCACTGACGTGCCAGATCAACAGAAGTATTACAATAGATCTAAAAAGAAGTTTATAAATAAAGTTTACTTTCTTTGAAGAAGGTTACTCTAAACACGTACGGTACATTGTACAGCTTGGTAGAGTTTTGTAATGCAATACAATTCGTAACGATATCCTTCAAAGTAAAGACATTGACAACATTAATTTATGTAGCAACAAAAACGCACAGCAGTGAACTTGGTAATGAACCGTAGACTTAATAAGTCTGTAATTTTCCCAACAAAAATAGTTACACTTCAACATTTTCCAGTATTTCATCTCATTCAACTTGATGGCAGAAAGGAGGGGTCTGCATAGGCTGATAATCGACCCACTTTATTTTTTGTCTAAAAATGCTTCTCACATACTTATCAGTCGGTTTTAAGGGCCCCCCTCTCAGAAATTATCTCCTACACCGTGCATCCGCACTTCAGGTGTAACTCTTATACTGTATAGCGAAAACGCTATGTTAAACGCTGTATGAAATAGTCGATTTTATGGCTTCTAGGAAAATGTCTGTAACTTTTCGATGCAAGGTCATACAGAGTTGTGCGAAGTCTTATTTTGATCAGAAACGTTTGTTCTACAAAGCTGTGTTTTCAGAAAAATTTTAATTGCATTAGTATCCAGGATAAAAACATTATTTGAAGACCCATTTTTTCGAGGCTCGTAGAAAACTTGCTCAAAATCCCGGAACAAACCACTTTTGTAACCAAAAGCAACACAGATTCTGGAAGTAGACACTTCAGGCTATCTTTTCATGTGCGTATCCCAAACCGATTTTTTGACCGAAAATCACCATTTCTGAGGGGGGCCCTTAAGTCATTTCGTGTACTTTTGGTAACTAAAGGTTACCAAAGCTATAGGTTACGTAAAAGGTGTTTTTCTCATGTTTCTTTCATGTAGGCAATAAAGTAAATATATCATTGGATAGCCCCTAAAATTCTCTACAGAATGTGTGTGACATAACAGTCTCAGTCAAAGACCAACCAAACTACTTGGAACTCTCAGAATGATCAGAGGAGTAGATTGAATAGTTAGAATACTAAAACAACTCTAAAATAATATATTCTCTTACAATGGATTTCTAGAAAACCTTTGAAAATCCAATAGTAGGAAAATAGATATTTTTACTTTTCTGACTCTATCGACAAATAAATCAAGGAAAAAAGAGTATTTTCTGGAAGTTCCAAGCGGTTTGATTGGGTTTTGAGTGAGATTGGAGTATTTTACTATGGTATAATACAATGTAGCTAAATTGGTGGATTTTCCTCAAAATTCAGTTCCACTAGATTTTCCCGCCGTTTCGTGAAAAAAAACATCGCCACAAGATTCAATATGTTCGATAACCTATGTTTCCATTTACTTTAGAGGTGATTCGAAGTCACCTAATACCAGTCTTGGGACTCTTAGCAAAACTGATACCACGCCGAAAGTACAGAGGCTAAACCGACTGATCCAGATATCATACTTTGTAGAAAATTCGACGAGCTTTAAAATAGTATATAACACAAAATGTACTTATTTCTTTACTAGTAATAGTAGTTACTAGAAATAGTAAAAACCGGAAGTACGTCGCATTTTTCTAAGTATTCAATCTACTCCTCTGATCATTCTGAGATCCCAAGCGGTTTGGTTGGTCTTTGAGTGAGACTGTTATGTCACACACATTCTGTAAAGAATTTTAGGGGCTATCCAATGATATATTTACTTTGTTGCCTACGTGAAAGAAACATGAGAAAAACACCTTTTACGTAACCTATAGCTGATCCTTGTGGGATGAGCTACTGGCGCCTATTGACGAAGAATTACTCGGATTTTAGTTACCAAAAGTACATAAAATTACTTAAAACCGACTAATAATACTTTTCTACAGTAGACAAGTATGTGAAAATCATTTTTAGACAAAAAATAAAGTGGGTTGATTATCAGCCTATGCAGATCTCTCCTTTCTATTGGAACCAAATTAATTGTTTACCTTTTATGTAATTCAATGCATCTAATATCAGAACATCTGTTTTTGAGACTAATCTTTAAACAAAATAGAATACATTATTGGCAACCATTACAATTAAATTGGGAACAAATTCAAACCTTTGAGTTTCAGCTTTTAAATCACTTCTTGCTTGTTTTTCTTGATTAGTATCTATTAACAAATAAATTAGTACAAAAAATGGAATGGCGTGTAAGAAATACGTTGAAGTAATCTTTTACCCATATAGACAACATTCTTTTCTAGTTTATTATCAGTAACAATATGTACAGGCATTGAGGAATTGTTTTGTATATAGTCTGCTAACTCTTTTGTTCTTGTCGACTTCCCTGAACATGGCAAACCACACATAACAATTAGAGGCATCTAAAAAAGCAATCTCGATACATTTTCCACACCACTAAGTATACAGCTGAAAAGGGATCTGAAGAGTGTATGAATTCGTGAAAGTACGGGGTTTCAAATGAACGAATGACCGATGAACTGAACAATTCCACGTAGAACACGTGCAGTTTTTTTGAAAAAATGCTATTGAGAACCAAATATGTACCTGATATACTATCATTACTTTACTTTTGTTACACAGTACGAACTTTGAGAGAGTTTTTGCTTTCATTTTTTTAATGAAGAAAATTTCAATATCAAAAATTATCAGACCACAGTAGTAAATGAAGCAAACTTTAAAATGATAATTTTTAAGAGCGTTTCACACACGTAACAAAATCTATTTCTTAAACGAGAAACTTCAACAGTAAACTACAAAAGATATATATATAGACGTTCTTAGATCACTCTTTTGAACAATTCCGATACAGATCAGTACTGCCCAACCACTTGTTCGAGGGGTATTTTGGGTGCTCGAAAATATGCTTTTGATGGGCCCTCGACGCAAGCGCAAAATCGTGTGCACACAGGGTAGACGTAGATTTTTTCCTTAACAGGTAGAAAAACAAACACTCATCGATAAAGATTGGTTCCAAATATCTTTACACTAATTATGATTGAACACGTTTAATATACGGTTTCTTCGATACCTCACTTCCAAGACCACAAGATCGAAAAAGAAAACAGACAGAGAAAACACTTCCTCTAGTTCAAACAGTATAACAGAAAAGAAGTTTTAGCTAGTGAGCTAGTAGTTGGACAGTTATTTCACCAAAATATCTTATTATCATAGAAAATTATAGACAAAAACTTGTTTATGAAACATAAAAAAAGAAATTGATTATTTCAGATGTTGTTTAACAAAAAGCAACAATCAATAAGCAAGATAAACTCTGTAAAAAGCACTTAGAAAAGTTTCTATAGCAAAAATATGTTAAATACCGGTTGTTTTTGCTGTGAATCATAGTTCAATTCATGACAGAGCTAACAGTGCACCGTCTATCTTTTGATTAGTTTACTTCTAATGCCAAACTGGAAAATTTTTCTCAGATTTTTTGTCCTAATAATCAAAATACGTCATTACCAGCATTAATGTCATACTTGGCATAGATACCGACATCGTCATCTTCATCGAGCATGACAGTTTGGTTTATTCAAACGATCTGCATAGTTTAGCATCAATAACATGTTCGAAGTCACGATTAAATCAATAAGAACAACTCAGACAATCATACAAAAGAACCTCTTTGTTCAAATTGTGCTTGCAATATTAATTCTCTTCTTAGAGCCAAAATTCAAGATAACAAAGTAATTTATACAACGATAAAATGGGAGAAGGAAAGTGTCACCGGCACATTTGGCTAGTAAGTCATCTTTCTTGTTGGCGATAAATTCCGAAATATCCAACAACATCTGGTAATCTGGTATCCCACCCATAGTTTGTGAAAAAAGAGGATCCGTAGTTTCAAAAAAAGAGGAAAAGAGTCAGTTTTTTCGGGCGAAAAATGCTAACTAATATTCTCGCAAGTGTAGAAGCACGTAACGGTGGCATATCTATGATCTGGCGAATCGAAACAGCGCAAAATGAAATTCAGTATTGTTCACATTTATTTTTCATCGTTCATAATATGCGCACTACAAAATGAGAAAACAAACGAAAACAACAGAAATTTCGTTCATTTATTGTTTTTTTCCGCCTAGTTGTGATCACTATTACTCTATATTAAAGATTGCATTATCGTTAACTATCTCTGTCTATTTTTTTCTTTTGCCACATCTCTTCGTTCTTTTGGATATATATATGAAAGGATACATTCAGATATAGTCAGTTCGAGTGCATATAGAATACAGAGCAGTGGCGGATCTAGCACTACGGCAATCCAACGACCGTCGCCCCCTCGCAAATGGAATTCTAATGCAAGTACACTACCAGACTTCCTTAGAAAAAATATTCATACTACCTCGGACGACATCGTTTAGAAATCGCCACCTCGTTGGTAGAATCCTGGATCCGCCCCTGATACAGAGTTAGTAAGTGGTCGGACCAGTTAGTGGTCTCCTTATTTCATGTTATTCCTGCATATCTATTTTTTATCATTACTTTTAAATATACTACATATATTGGATTGACACGTTATTTAATCTAGATTGCCGAGAGAGTTTCTAGTCTCACTTGATTGAAGAACACGAGCTTAACGACTAGTAGAAGTCAAGAGTAAAAATACGTGATGACATGAACCACCTGATGAGCCAACACTAACGAATTTGTTCATCAACAGCTAATGTGTTCGTGAAAAAAGAGGCGAAGTGGGAGGCCAGCTGGTAATGGAATTAATATTTGTTTATGTGAATGACGTTCAAGTGCTAAAATTCTACAACTAATTAGTAAAACTTGATGGAGTCAATGATAGTATGTTTGTTGATGAGTATAATTGCTCAATATCTGTATTTTTGATTTTTTTCGAATTTTTGTTGTCATCATTTTCACCACAACCTGTATATATTTTCAACTATATTACCACGACAATGATGTTGCTTTTTGTTTCACTTCTTCATCCTTTTCGTCACTGAATTCTTCATCAACACTTTTTTCACTTATTTTTTGCATTTCTTCTAAAACGATAACAACAACTTCATTCTAAATAATCGCAGAGCAGAGCACTAACATTATGAAATCAAAAGCAGCGTCACTTTCAACTTAAATTGCCAGAAGTTAAATTTGATTATGACAAAAAACAAATAGGTTTCAATTTCACGGTTAACATAAAAACACAAAATAAGTATCTCGTTGATGTGTATCTCATAAAAAGATCAACATTTCACACGACACAGCTTCACATTTAGAAGACGACAAGAAATCCAAAACGAAATCGAAAGCAATAGTATGCATAACCGGATTGTTTCAGCTTAAAAATTATCCACTTTTACACGATTCTTTCGCCGACGAAAGATACCACTTTGTACGAAAAAACGAGAAACACTTAACTTGCAAAACTAGTTTTGTGGATCCCGTTGTCACATATGGTCTCATAAAACATTATCGATAGACAAACAAGCAGCTTTCAGAATCAGAAATTACTACCCCTTTTTTGACCCTTTCTTTTTTGAAAAATTCATATTTTTATTGACGTGACTCGAGATAGATTCTTTGCACATAGAATATTAAAGAACCGTGCAAGCATAAGCATTATTCTATTCGAAATAAGGTAAAAAATTTCTTGATGATGACGCACAGTTTCTTATAACAGTATTGGTTGAAGTTTACCATTCATGTTTGACTTGTCCTTGGTACTTTGCCACATTCAGAAAAATACATATAGAGACATTACTAAAATTTGACTTCTTCATCCTAATACCTTCCAGTTGAATTTCACGCATTTCTCTATGTTCAGCGAATACTTGTTGATAGAATAAAATTGTGTTGTTCTTTTGAAATATTTTGCATCTTTAGCCGACGGTCGTCTGTTGTAGAGGCTCTATGCACGTTTTTTAAATGCTGAATAAAAAATTGTTCTATTGGTCCCACTTCAATTATAAGAAGCGAACAGAAATCCAAGCAGATCAAAGACAGTTATAACTGATTTTTTCATATATCAAACTCATTTAATCAATAATTTACTATATATTCAACGTCAATCAGTTAACGTATATAGTTTATTCGAGTGAGTTTCATTGATTTTTAAAATGTTTTAATAAAATAACTATCAGTATATTTTGAGGATTCAACTAAAATATGATGCTACAATTTTTCTGTCAAACTTTTTGAAATATTGATTTGTATCTGTTTTTTGAAGGAATGAAGAAATGCAACAGGAATATTCAATGCATCGCTGCAAAGCGAAATTCAAGGATATGGGTAAGTCAGCTCAAGTTTTTGCGTAAAGTTTGAAGCTCATTCGAAAAGAAACGTCTCATTTAGCTGCTAAAAGCTAGGACAAAATAAAAAGATTTTCAGCTTGTGAGACAGTTAAAAGGATTCTGGCTGATGAATAGCGCTGAATTACAATTTGAAGGTTTCTCTTGAGGCTTTTGTTGATATTGTTATTGTTTAATTTAGGTATAAACTCATATTCTCAGAATATCTCAGTTCTTCGTACACAAGGTGATTTATCAAAAGACAAGCTACCATTATTACCAATTTTACAGCAAGCATTTAATGTTAGCCGAGAACGGCATACAACAGAAGTAAAGCGAGCATCATACGACGAACAACCGACATCTAATCCGATTACAAGGTTTAAACATTTGTCTCTTTTGTTTGTCGGTCTATCACTCATATGTATATGTATGAAACTTTTAGTTCAAACGATTCTGCAACTACAATGAATTGGGAAGTTGAAGCAAATTATATCTGCCCTCCAGTTGTGCATTTAACGCCAGCTACAGGCTATATGCATCTAGCTGATTGTGTTATTCAAACATGTCCTCCAACGGGTGTTATTCCAAATAATCCAAATGTAAAAGCAACAATATTAAGTACGTATCTGTATCCCCTACAGTTATTTACTTTGACGCCCTTTTGCTTTCTATTTATCGTAGATGAAGATTTTAAACAATTAGTAGACGATGAGATTCGCCAACAACAAGATGATGTTCCAAGTGCAACAGCTCAACATCAACATACTATAATAGGAAATTCAAAGCAAAATTTTGCAAATTTTGGCTCAACTGATTTAAGTGGTAAGCATTAGGTGATCTATTTTAATCCTAGGGGTATCCAAACGCTTAAGCAAACCAGAAACTTTACATTCATAAGAGTTTCTTTTTCTCAGTTTATAATATATGGCATTTTGTCCATTTTTATTCTTTGTCAAGGATGTGTGTCTTGCAAAATGATAAAAGATATTTTATCTGTTTTTCTGTCTGTTTATTGGTAAACTTATGCGGATATTTTCTCTAAATTACAAAAATTATTCTTGGTTTTCTTCTTAGCTCTATTTTTTAATAAACAATTTCGACACTTGCTATTCGATATCTTTTACAGTAATAGTTTGAGTTTAGGTTCAAAAGTCATTCGATTAGTTCGTGCTAAGCAAGCCGGTAAACGTAAATCGAGTTTAGATACATTAATTGAAGTTGTACAAAAAGAATTACAAAAGGTGAATGGACAGTCCTCATCATCTTCGAATAATGCCGTATCATCATCGAATCAACGGACGTCTATAACATCAAAACACAATCATCATTCTTCTTATTCGAAATCAGATCATTCGACATCCCATCATAATCTGTCGTCACCATCGTTTAAGCGTCCATCTTCATCATCCCCGTCAGCTAATTTACTATCATCAGTTTTACCAGCATCCCATCCCAGTTCAATAACAGCACAGTCAAATCGATTCAAAACAGCAAGGAAAATTGTTCGTCGACCTGCTTCAATGTTCTCTCGTAAAAAGTCATTCGAGGATAATGACGATTATAATGATAATGAAATGACTAATTACGATAATCTTGAAAATATTGAAGATATAGTGCAAGAGACAGTCGATGCTTTGGTAGCAATGGCCACAATGAATACAGCGCCATTCGTTGTTAATATGTTGACTGCTATACCGTCTCAGCAGCAACAACAATTACAATCGATATCAGCAAATTTATCAGCAGAACAAAAGTCGTTTACAACTGGAGCAGTACCACCGACAACCATTACAAATGTAAGAATTTTGAATAATATGTAAAATACCTTATTAAGCTTTTTTTGTTTTTAGTTTCCATCCCATACGAAGAGTATACCTGTACCATCTTTACCAAGCAATTCTACAGCACCAAACTATTATCGAAATGATTTAGCTTTGCTGTCATCAACGGCGAGTGATATTCGAAATTCAATGCAATTATCACAACAACAACATCAACAAATTCAAACTGCTATACCGATATCAGCACAGCCTATCTCATCCACCTTTTTAACTCCAACGTTGCAACATATCAATCTGCATCATTCGACTGCAACAAGCAGTTCTACTATTGCTTCAACTTCTAGTTCTGTGAATAGCAGTTCACAAATATTTTTTAGTGATACTCCGAAAACGGTATCTCAACAACAACAGTCAGCATTATTTGTCACTCCCAATTTACCACGTATATTAAATATTCAAACTGTAGTCCCGAAACCAACAACCAATCTTCAACTTGGTGCTACAAAAATCATTTTAGTTTCACCGACAAATCATCATCCACAGAATCACCAACACAACAATCAACATCAACAAAGTCCAGTAAAATTGGTAAAATTTAGTAGCTGTCCACCATCGTCGCTGCAAACTGCTAGAACTATTGCTAGTCCAGTTCAAATTACAGCAACCAATGAATTCAAGTAAGTATTAGTAGAACCTTATTTCTACTTCGAAAACAATTTATTTCACCTTGGTAGTCAAATGAATGATCATTTTTGGATATTATTATACTTTACAAAAGCTTTCTTTACTTTAGCCAACAACATCAACAACAGCTTTTTCAAAGACGATCAGCCACGACTGCGACTGGTTCAACGATAACGTTACCTGCTAATGTTCAAATTGTTATGCCCACTCAGTCACAATCATCCAATTTACAATTTACTCGTACAAGCAGTGACAGTATCTCTTCAAACAATAATAAAAACAACTGTATATTTCGTTCATCTACACCAACGACATGTGATCATCTATCAATGATTCCTCAGGCAGCACAAGAAATAACAGTTACAACATCGCCGACACCAGCCTACAGTTTATCAATGTCACCATTACGATCGACGGATTTAGTGGATACATCACTTTCAACCAACACGTTATTATCACCAACAAATAATCAGCAGCACCAGCAACAATATTATTTTTCACAAAATGACGGATCTTCGCCGTTCAATGGAAATCACAGTGTTATTATAACAAATAATGGAAATTCGAAGCCCAGACGACGTTCATCAAGTAGCGCTCCTTTTGATAAACCTATTGGCAAAGTATTAAGACCAGTAGCAAAAGTATTACAACCTTATCCAAATGGTGAGTGTTTAGATTAGTTCAAATACCTTGTGATTTTCAGCTCCAAATGAAAAACTTGACCGAAATCTCTTTCTTCGAAAACTAGTGACTATAAGGCAAGAAAGATTTTTTTGAAAAAAAATATCCTACCATTTTCTATAGATGAGAATGTATTTTATTTAGCAATAGCAGTAAATAATTCAGCTACGACAAATATTGTACAACCAATGTCGGCTGTTGTTTCTACCAGTACAAGTCCAATGCATCATGAAGCAACTTCGATGACATCGCCTCAACAGCGGCAAACAGCAACTGCCGGACCTATGATTTATCGTATGACATCAATGAATCCAAGTAAGCCGAACAAAATTTGTTGTGATTATGACATGTCAATATCTCTCATATTTAGATGTACCAGTGTTTCGAGTGAGTACAGCAGCTAAAGCAACCGATTTACACTCAAAACCAACGCCAACAACCACAACCGTCTGTTACGAAAATAAACATAACAATGCTGGTGGTGCCGTTTCAGTTTTAGCTTGTTTTAAAACAACTAAAAAACGCAATAAAGTATGAATCGTTTTTCTTGTTGAAATCAGATGAAAGCATTATTTCTGCTTAGGAACGGGCCATTATGCCACGTCCAAGTGCTGATAGTGACAGTAGTAATGATCACCGTTTGATAAACAGTTCGTCATTGGTATCAAATCCGAATGGACTCATTAGTCATGGAAATACTAATGTGATGTTTCAAATGGCACAAACAGACGGTCTTAATCGACAACTTCATCAAAATCGATCGATCATCCGTACATCAAGCAATTCTACCATGTCATGCTCTGAAGAATCGGTATCAAATAATGTTTCATTATTGGCCAACATTCAGGAATCGAAACCAGTTGGCGGTGTAATTAACAATCGTATTAATACTATAGAACATCGAACGCATATTCAATTAAATAATAATCCGTCATCCGTAACAACAATAACAACGCCACTAACAGTTTCTTCACCGTTTCATTCCTCCTTTTCATCCGTTTCTGGCGTCAGTACACGGCCATTGATGGAAGATAAATGTATCCAAAGTAATCCGTTTGATGAAGTGAGCAAAATTCTATCTTTACGTTAGATTATTATTACTTAATTATTTTTCTAAAATAATATTGTGGAAATTTCAGGAACCAGAAGAAGAAGATCAAGACGATGAAGATGGTTCACAAAACGAAAAGAATGGCAATAATGAACAGCAAAATGAAAATAGTATGGAATATGATGGATCGCCTGTTCCCCAACAAGAAATTGTTTTATATTCTCAACAACATCATGAAGCTAGTTCATCTGCAGGTAATATATTAAATTTTTAGATAAGTTTTTGAGCAAACTAATTTTTCATGCTTATAGATCGAACAACTAATAAACGTATTCGTCAACGTGATAACGAGGCTTCAGCAAGAGATGAAAGTTGGACAGTTGCTGCTGATAGGTAAATAGATAAGATGGATCCATACAAATAGATCCCTCTTTTATTGTATGATATTGAACTAAAAATGAAATTATTTTTCTTTAGTTTACTTCGCAATGTTTTGTCTCAATATGGTTTTCGATTTCTTGATTTAAAATGTCAACAGAATTTATCGACAAAATTTGATACAATTCAAGCGAATTTAGTCGTATGTTTCAACAATTTTGTCTTCCATAGAATATAAATATTTATTTATTAAATTTTAGAGTGGAACTATAGCATCAAAAGATGACTTTTTTTATTCGGTCATGGATATTAAACGAAAATTATTAGAAAATGATCTATCAAAAATAGCGGCTGATAATTTAGAGAAACTTTTTAATTACTTTGAAACGCAATATCCAAAATTAAAACAGCATTCGACATATTCAATGACAAGTAGAGTAAGTTAATGTCAGTAGATTCGTATGCACAATTCGAATATCGAATCAAACAGCGAAGAAGAATTTGTATTCTAATACTATTCTCCATCCAAAAAAGAAATAACCCATGGCCATTTTTCTAATAATTCAAAAACGGAAAGAGCTAGGGCGATGGGTTTTTCAGATATGGAAAGAGCAGTTTATGACTTTTCGCAAGCTAAAAATATTTCAAAAATCGGTTTTGAAGAGATCTCTAGAAAACTCGTGCATCACGGGAAAATTATCTTCATTAACCATGGTTCGGTAGCTACAGGCACTTCATTTTATTGTTTTGTTATTTTGTACTTCATTTTATCTTCTTAACCTTATTCTGGATTTGAAATTAATAAGAAAAATTCTTTTTCTAAAGATCTTCTCAAAAACCGACTTTTAAAAAACTTTTTGCTTGCGAAAGATGTTCCATAAACTGCTCTTTCCATATCTGAAAAAAACCATCGCTCTAGCTCTTTTCTGTTTTTGAGTTATTAGAAAAATAAGCATTTAGTGTGGAAGGTGATTTTCTCCAGAGCTGGACAAGTCAAGTCGGACTTGACTTGGTCCAAACTTTTCGGGGGGGTATAACTTGGCTTGAGAAATTTTTTTCAAGTCAAGTCATTTCTAGTAAGAGATTTTCGTTTAAATTAGACTTTTTCTACCATGAAAGAGAGTTTCTGAGGCTATAAAAACTCTCTTACCCAAAAAGGTGCTAGCAAATTTTATGTTCTGCCTAATTTTAACCGGACTTGGCGGAAAAAATTTTAACGGATGACTTAACTGAAAATTTAAACTGAAATTTTTTTTAGTGATTTGACTTGACTTGTGACTTGCAAAACTCCTGGTTTGCCCAGCTCTAATTTTCCTCGTAATAAAATCATTATGTACATTTTTTTTCTTCCAGAAACGTACTCGACGGTAACAAACAATTATAATTAACGTTGAATTTTCAAGTGTTTGGCAGTTTTATGTAGATTTGTTACTTTGTTCCGAATCAAAGAACATCATCACTTTATCTATATCAATAAATATGTACACATATTTTTTTGTTTGTCTCTATTTTTGTCTTATGTGTTATGTTGTTCTTGGTTATGAATGTGACGCTTAGTTAAGTTGATTTGATTCCTAATTTTTTTAGTTGCTGTTTTTTTCTCTCCTTTTATTATTGTAAATAGACCTTTTTGCTTTTTAAGACATTATATGTTTGAAAAGATGCCCACCTTCATCAATTTCGTGTCTTTTGTTTTTGCTCGAATTCATTCAGATTCTCTTTTGTTTGTTTTGCTTAGATTTTAGAGCCAAAGACATAAAGCTTATTTTTATTTCGTTTTTTCGTTTCTGATATGAAGAAAAGATGTTTGGCCATTTACTTTACTTCTGCCACGCTTATTTCATCTTTAACATATTTTGTTTCTTTCTCTTTTGTTTTTCTCATATTGTATTTTTTCTGTTTCCTACGAAGCAACATCTGTTTTTCATTCGGACTTATGTGTGTGTGCGTGTTGTTTCTTTTTTGAAACATTATACGAAACGCTTGCTTTATTTTGCGTTAAGTAAAAATCGATTATTATGACATTTAATAGTACGCAACAGTATATACCCGATTAAATTTTGTACCATCTATTGCAAAAAGTTAAACATTTACGACTTTCAGCTAACTTATTAACTATGCAGCCATCAACTATTGTTAAGATTCTCTTTCGATCACTTGAATGAATATTCGATAAAACTAATGAATAGCAGACATGGTCATTTAAAACCCGTCTACATTTGAAAAAATTTCGTATTTTTCAAAACGTTTTTTTTATTTCTGCTCGTTTAGTAGCTTTGTGTGATTTCTCTATTTTAGGTACGTGCAAATTTTTGCAATGATCTTCGATTGACTTATAAGCTAACTTTTACTTATTGTTGTAGAGTTGCATAAAATTAAGATCGAAAAGCAGCACATCTTGTACATTGTGTCATTCGGATTCTTTTTTTTCTGTTTTTTGCTTTATGAACAAAGAAGATGTAGAGATTGATTTCTTATTGTAAATAAATTACGCAGTCACGAACGTTGTTTTGGTTCAATCTCTATGGAACAGAACACGCACACACACATGTCTTGTTTATCTTGAACAATGAAAAAATATATATATTTTTTTTTGTTTGGTTTTATTCTGTTCATTTTTACGGGGAGAAAACGAAAGATCTTGTTTTATTGTATTATTTTTTTTTTTGGTTTTCCTTTTGTTTGTACATATCCTCTCTATAAAATTATATTTATATCTATTACGCACACATACATACACCATAGCTGTATAATAAAATATGTTTATTTAGAATCGCTTGTGTTATTATTAATTATGTACATCTTTTCACTTTGCAATCTTGTCATTTACTAATGCTACCTTATATTTTCGGAAAAGAAAAAGACTGCACAGCTTATGATAGTTTAAGCTTACATATTCTGTTCAGTTACCGTGGAAAAAATCACGCGTTTAAAAGTTGTTAGACCAGTACGATGAGTGATATTGACCGAAACTGAAGAGAAAATATAATCCGATTTGATCGACTGTATTTTTCGATTTAAAAAAAAAAATTGTTTTCTAAAAGTTTTTATGAGAATTTCTGCTTGCGAATAAAAGACATGTGCTGAAGACAAGGCATTTCTTCTGCACTCCTTATAAGTTGATATTTGTGTAACTTTTAAAATATCAGAAATGAAAGAGTAAGTGTAATACTAATACTCCAGCATCATTTAGACAACACTCGTACTCGAGAATTTTTACTTCCAGTCGAAAAGTTTTTTTTTGTGCCTCGATGAGCGAACTGATATGAAGATGTTTGTAAAAATTGCTTCAACTTAAAAGTGTCAAAAGAAGACTGATACGATATCTACTCAAGATTTATTACATTGAGCGTTGTATCTATTTTAGTAAGAGCTACTTAATCGATGTGAGCGAATCGATCTTAAACGAATTTTTTATTGATATTTTAATGTTATTTATAAGAATATGCGTTCAAAGATAGGAATAGTACTTTCACTAAAAGCTCTAGAACTACGATCTCAAGAAGCAAAATAAACTTGTCCAAATACTAGTTTGATTGGATACCTCTTAGTGAAATAGATTGAGTGCTCGATGTAATGACTCTTGAGTCAATTTTTTATCGGTTCTCTTTTGCTACATTTAAGTTGAGGCAATTTTTATTTATATTATTTACACCATGAACTTAACTTCGTAATCTGAGATGAAAAATCTTGCATGTGTAAGTGAACGAGCACAATAAACTGTTAGTTTATTGCACGATNAACTTGTCCAAATACTAGTTTGATTGGATACCTCTTAGTGAAATAGATTGAGTGCTCGATGTAATGACTCTTGAGTCAATTTTTTATCGGTTCTCTTTTGCTACATTTAAGTTGAGGCAATTTTTATTTATATTATTTACACCATGAACTTAACTTCGTAATCTGAGATGAAAAATCTTGCATGTGTAAGTGAACGAGCACAATAAACTGTTAGTTTATTGCACGATTGAGCCTATGCTGTTATAATGTGTCACCACTTTACCGTTGCTCGCCTAAATTTTAGCAAAAACTGACTCCGATTAGAATTACAGAATTTATGGATAGTTTCTAAATTTGTATTGACTAGTGACCAGCGGTTAAACGGAAACAGCAAGCGTTTAACACATCAAGTGTTCAGATATATATCCTTTTCCTTTGTTTGCCGATTTCTTTTTCATTGAAAGATGATTAAAAATAAAATTAGAATTAAATACTAAATATGGAATAAAACACTGCTTGATTAAAACAATGCCACGAGCGTCAGATAATCCAACAACAACAAAATTTTCGAACGAATGCAACGATTGTGGACAAACTGGTAAGTAACAATTCAAATGTTACTTCTAAACTGGTATCTCTGAAAAGCCTTGTTTTGTTCTTATTTTAGGTACACAATGGTCTTCACTTAATCATGGTGTTTTATTATGTGATGAATGTTGTTCGGTTCATCTTAGCCTTGGAAGACATGTATCGCAAATTAAATCATTTAAACGTAGTCATTGGCCACCATCGCAATTGAATGTAGTTTAGATTACTATAAACAAAAGTTCACATCTCGACGACATTTTTTGTTTGTTTTAGTTGATACAAGAATTAAATCAAAATGGTGCTAATCTTGTATGGGAATATAACCTACTAGATCCACAAAATAAAGTTTTAAGAAAAAAACCAAATGCAAAAGACTCATTACCGTATGTATCTCTAATCATGCACGCTAGTTTAGTAAACGTTTTGATCAGGTGCCCAGATATAAGATTAATCAGACTAAACATGAAACAATGGTTTCAATTAATTTCTCAACTTATACTTTCTTTTCATATAAAAAGACTAAATATGTATTGTATTAGTACCGAGACAATTATCTAAGTATTCAATTATTAATAATTTAGTATAAAAGCGGATTTTATTCGAGCAAAATATCAACAGTTAGCGTATATAAATCGACTTAAAGATGAAACAAGTTTAACATTCGAAGATTTACATCAGGTACGGCTAGAGTAATTAAGGCGTAATGTATATTATTTTATTTTTTTTCTTCTTCGAAGCAACTTCATTCTATAGCTCGTACAGATAATGTAACAACCTGTCTACGATTTTTATCTCAAGGCGCTGATCCTAATTATAAAAATCCAGAAACTGGTACATCATCACTTCACGTAGCTGCTAGTCGTGGACAAATGAATCAAGTCGAACTTTTATGTATATTTGGTGCTGATCCTGCATTTCCTGATAATTCGGGAATATCTCCTGAACAACATGCAAGGTAAATCAATTCAATCTTGTTTTATATTTATGTACATTTATTATCATGGATTTTTAGATCAAATGGCTATATTGAATTAAGTGAACGTTTAGTCGAATTACAACATGAATTAACAGATCGTTTAACCTATTTCATTTGTAACAAAAGACCGGATCATAGGAATGGACAACATTTAATTATTCCAGATATCAGTGATAAGTGAGTGAATAATTCTTAGATTTCATATCTATCAACTAAAAATAAATCTACATTTCAATTTAGTTTAGATACATCGGATTCTTCACGATCGGCTCGACGAAAACTTCAACAGGTAACCGCCGTATATTCTGAAGTATCATAGTTTTATATATGTTTTTGTTCTAGTTACCTGATTCACTATTTGAAGATCTTGCAATGGATGTGTTTGATGAAGTGGAGCGACGAGAGTTAGACACAAGTAAATAATATTCATCTAATAACAAATAAAAAAGATTTCTGAGCAATTGTGGAATCGTAACTATATCTAGAAAACTATAGAGGAGAGCAGCGATTGGGTTTAATAATTGATTTTCATGCTACCATATTTATATACCGAATGAAGTAAAACTGTTTTAAGACTATTCATATCACCATCTATTATTCAAATTTTTATATTTTTTCTCTCTTTTAGTTTGGCATGCACAAGTTGAAAAACACTTACAACCCCTTTATGTTGTACCATTTTTACCTGTAAATTCAATATTTTCTGCTACAAGAAATCAGGTATGATTGAATCTTTATCATTTACAAAGGACAATTCATGAATTAAATTTTAAATCAAAGGGACGTCAAAAATTAGCGCGTTATGGCGTAAAAGAGTTTACAATATTAATTTATGACATACTAAATGAAATTCGTCGAAGACACTACGGTATGCAATCTCCTGTTCAACAATCAAAATGTGAGTAAATTTTTGTGTAAAGATGATTGAATGATAAATGACATCATATTTCTACTCTTTTTATAGTTCACACCATTCCACGTCAACATGTTAATATGAATAATAATACCTCTTTAATGTCGAATGATACGTTATTGCCAATGATGATGAATGGTATAGAGGGACAAACAGGAACATTCTCAAATATTTACAATGGAACAACATCAAGTGCGCTGATAAATGCATTTATTGATTCGGACGATGAGCCATTGTATGATAAAGTGGCCTCTGACGAAGATTACAGTAGTTTACCAATAAATCATAGATCAAAATTAATACACAAAGATAAGCAAGCGAATAATATGCAAAAATTATTGAAAAGAATCAAAAAGGTTAATGATAGATTTGAAATTTTATTGGAAAGAAATATAATTCTTCCTTTTTAGAATTCATCACACGATTACATCAAAGAGCAAAGTCCTGACATACTTCATTCTCCATCGGAGGTAATCTAGAAGTCGGTTTCTTTTATTCAATTATATAATTGTCTTTTTTTTAGAGTTTGAATTTATCGGATGTGTCGAATGAAGAAAACCATATTCGTTTACAACAACAGCATCAACAACAACAAAATAATTTAAAAACAAGAGTAACCAATACGGAAACACAATTAAAATTTCTGTCCTGTGCACATGTAGACTTAAAAAATGAGATTGCCGTATTACATCAGATGGTAAATGAGCTTTTAGTCTTAGACCAACAAGATTAATCAAATTATTTTTTTCTTCATTTAAGATACAACGTTTATTAGACGAAAGTCTCTTGAACAAAGTTGATCAACAAATGCTTGATATGGATAATCCGACAACGTCTCCCAATGATATTATGATGTCTAAACAATCAAAAACCTCTCGGATACAAAATAACGAAATAGTAATATCCACAACGACGACAACAAACACAACTACAAATGGCCATACTGATGGGAAGAATTTAGAAAAAGTAGGCTCAAAATCTTTTGTATTTGAGCATTTCAGTAAAACGTTTATTATATGTTTACCACTTTTTCTTGAATTACTGCTTATATCTAGCTTCATAAGCTTTCGATGTTAATTTCAAACAGGAGCTTACTTATCGAATCTGTAATACAGGATTCGAGAGGAAAAACATATTCAGTAGGTAATGATTTGAAATTGTTTAAAAAGTCAGATTAAATTTTCTACTGTTATTTTCTCCTCACTTCTATCATGCCATTTGTCTTCGTTAATCAAAAACAATATATTGCATGTTGTTTTAGTCACTTAAATTACCTCACACATCACTGTTATTTTCATCAAAGTCACAAAAAGTATATTGTTTTGTTGTTGTTTGTTGTTGTTTATACAGTAAATATATCGATACGATATGCTTTGGTTTACACTTTTTAGTCCAACTGTCAATTATTTGACAGTCAGAATCGAAAATCAAGTCCAATTATTGAAAGTGATTATGATAATACGACCATACTCGATGATTCAGATAAGTATGTCTAAATTGCTTGCTAATCAAGAATATGCAAAGTATTCGAGTTCATGATCGCCATAAACATGTGTATATTTATTTTAAGATCGATAACATCTCCAAATCACACATCTGGTTCTTATAATCGTGAAAAAAGGTATGATAACGTCCTTCTCGTTAGGTATACCACGTAGATTCCTATTTTTTTTTAATTTTAGATCAAGTCGCAGTATGCATCGATTTCCCTACGAAGATATTAAAATGAATTCATTAGCACATTCACGTCCGTTCAGATCAACTGACTGGGTAAATGGTGGGCAACCATCTTCTGGAAGTCCTCTGGCATCAACAATATCTCCTGTTGTACCTTCATCATCGATGGCACCAAACGAAATATTTGAACCTTCAGATATACAAGCCACTCGAGCCAGATCTTGCTCTGGTGGAAGAAATAAATCTGCAACTTCTCCAGCATGTGCACGGAAAGGTTGATTTCATTTTGTTTTACAGCTAAAGAATCTGTAAAATTTATATCGTGATCTGTTTTTAGTTCCATCTGGTCCATCGAGTTCTGATATTGATAAACGTACACGTAAAATCACGCATAGAATCGCCGAAATGTTTCAGCTTATAAAAGAAAATCAATTTGATTCGTATGTGTTCATTTCTTTTTATTGGTATGAATGACATTTTTTCCTCATTACAGGTTTTCAATGTGTGCTGATAGAATTAATCATTCGGTATACGATATGATCCGTCTGTTTCCTGAGGTAAAAGCGGTCAAGATGAATTTCGACGAAAACTAATTTTATTCGTTCCGCTTCAAATCAATTTGTTTTTTTATGTTTTCTTTTAGAATTATCTCACCGATGAAACTCACCGTAATCTTGAAATGCTGACAACAGGATCAGAACATCTTCTTTTACATTCAAAAGAAAAACGTAATCGTAATGAACAAATTCAATTGATTATCGATGACTCTTATAATATTGCATTAGCTCTGAAACGACTAGTAGTGTTACACCAACAACTATAGGCAGTATGTCATCCTTCAAACAAAATTTCAGCTTGTCATCATTTAATATGAAATAAATAATAAAAATGTGTAGTTTTTTTGTCCCATTTTTACGTCTATAACAGTGTGTATTAACGTGTTTCTTCTTTTCTACATTACTCGTGCTGTTGAGATTGAATGTAGAACCACCACCTGATATTCGAATTAATTAATTTACACTTGAGAAGTATGTTATCTGCAAATACGTTTTCCAGTAGTGCAATGTTTTTCTTTATGGTTTCTTTCTCTTCTTAATACGTGCAGTATTTAATCTTTAAGACTTTTCAAGTCAATTGATAATCATTTTTCTCTCGTTTGTAATCTCTTTATCACAATTCTTGATAGATTTTGTTTTTTTTATTTCACTTGTTTGTGTTAGATGAACGCGATCAAAAAAAAGTTTAACGTATCTTTTCTATTTTCATTTCTTTGTGGACTGTCAAGCATTTCTTTTCTTGGTATATGTGTATGTTTGGAAAATTAATATATCTCTGATTGTGCATCTTGTTTTGTACTATTTTTTCGTCAGACATTTTCTTCCAATTCGTACATCTTTCTTTTTTACAATATTATATTTGAAATAATCGTCAATCTTAACGAGCAATTACATCAGCAGACATTCTATCAACTTCATACAACCAAAACCTTTGAACTATGAATATACGTATCTCGATGAACATAGAATGCAAGTTTTGAGCAAATTAAGAATAAGAATTTTGTTTTATGAATTCTGTTTTAGAGCCCTTCTTGACCGTTATACTACTATTTTCTCCTACTATGTGAGCTTTATTTTAAAAGAAAAAAAATAGAGAAAAGATGTCGTGAATAGAGAGGAATTGACATACAAAAAAAAAGGGGGAAGAGGAAAACAAAAATGTAAAACAAAAACGTGTATTTTTCTAAATGGCGTTCGATACAACATCGATTTTTTTAGAAAACAAAAATGGTAACACTAAATAAACATTGTTATATAGAAACGGTGTTCAAACGACGCAAGAATGAAGATATATATAGCACAACAAGAAAAGAACTCAACGGCATGAAATTGATCAAATTTAAGACACACCTGTTTGACAACAAACAGTAACGGCAAAGGTTCATTTCAATTTCGTGAAACAATTAGTAAAATTTGTTGCACTGTTGACCTACATTATAACGAGCGTAGAAAAAAAGAAAAAAAAGTGCACTTAAATTACAAACACTCTTATATCAGAAAACATGAATAATCGGGGGAGACAAAGTTTTTATGAAAGAGAGAAAGAGATTGTCTACATTTCTTTATTCTCCATAAAAATGGCATAGGCACACACACCAGCAAAGACAGTAATACTTTACAGACGAGTAAAACAAATACACATATGGTCTATTCTACAAGACTAGCATCAAAAAAATGTTGCACGCTTTGAAGAAAAAAAAGATACAAATGCACACATATTTTATGTTTCGAAAGATGTTGGACGGGTTCGAAACTATTAAAAATTTTGCTGAAAAAACGAAAAACAATAGTTTTTTTGTCTTTTTGAAACTTTTTCTATATAAAATAATTTTATTTATATGACTAATTGTATTTAATATCCACGTTGGAAAATGAAATAGAGATTTTCAAAAAATAAGCTTCTAAAAACAATGAAAGACGAGAAAAAGAAAAAGAGTGATATTGTTGAAGCATAATAAATATATACGTAGTTCCTGAGCAACAAGCAAGCGCGTAAGGAGGGAACATGTGTATATATAGATACATATATGTGTATGTGTGTGCCAAATATCATTTTTACAATATGTGATTTTGTGTTTATGTTTGGATCTGCACAGATATTTAAAGACAAAAAAGAATCTGAACAGTGCCAAACATAATGCCCTTTAAAGAAAAAAAGAAAGTAACAAAGAAAGAAAAGAAAACAGTGATCATTTACAGAAATTCTCGGCGCAGAATAAAATAAAGAGTAACACTTGAGAACAAAAATGTGTGTTCACCGTATGCTAATCTGTACAAATATACTGCCATGTAATCAATCAAAAAGAGAAAAGAGAAATTACCCATGTCAACGAGATTCATAAAACATTGCCTGAAAAAGAACTACATTCTGAATGTTCGCATAAATAATCATCAACAAAAACATGTAGTTTTGGAAGACACTCACACTAATGAAACACGAGGATAAGAACACACACACAACGGAAAACAACAAGCAATAAATAAAACACAAACATAAAAAATACGCAACGAGCACTCGGTTCAATGTATAATATTGATAAATTAGTAATAATAACAATAACAAATAGATAGACAGAAAGACGTACAAAGAAAAAAATACTACTAATAGACCAATATGGTAACAAATAAACACGAGGCAAGGACAAATTTTAACAACACAGAAAATTTGTCGGTGACAAATGGCACATGTACAAAACTAAGGCAACAGAAAACAACAAAACGCGATGACTAGGCTTTGTCTCGCGAAAATAAAATCATTCTCTTAGAAGAAAAATAAAATACCATAATAACAACTGATGTTCATCTTTGTGAGTTTTGTTTGTTCGTCTCTCAAGGATAAAGATTAAAAGAAATGTTGAGACAGGTCGAAAGTGAGACGCGCGATAATAAACAAAAAAACACTCCTTTAGAAGAATTTTTTAGGGTGCAAAGTTAGAGTTAACAAATGTTGTTGTTAAAAAACATATATACACAAAAACAAAAAAAGAATGACTGAGTTTGCTTACCAGAACTGATTACCCTTTAACCGTTATAAAACCAATTCCTCCTGAATTATAGGCTCGATATTGTTTATGATAGTGTTGTGGTTGTTCATAATGATAATAATTATTATTGAAATAATTGTATGAAGGTGGACGTGAACGTTGATATTGAGCTGTTGGTTTTGCATAGTAACTTTTTGAAGACAACCAACGCTTTGATTTTGTTGTGCGCGACGCATTATCATTATCCGAACCTATTAATGTAGAATTTGACGAATTTGAACTTTCTAAAGTATTCGAATAAGATTATGAATAAGTAATATGATTTGATTATGGAAACTAAACACTTACCTTGTTGATCTTCTTCTTCATCATCTACTGTCTTAATTTGATTTGTATCAGACATTCTTATTGGACTCATCATATTTGAAGCATTATTAGTTGATACGGCATCGGAGTTATTATTGTTTGTGGTTTCTTCATTATCAGATGATGTTGCTGAATCACTCAAGTACCATGAAACAGGTGGTTTAGGTAAATCTTTAACATCCAAAGGTGGCTCTTGATATGTATTATCACCACGTTTTGGCGAATAAAATACTGGTACAGCTGGTAATGAATGTGATGCAAGGGCTGTTGTTGCTGGCGATGTCCGTGATGTTGGAATTTTTTGATGGGAGCGTGTTTGTTGATAACGAATAGTGGAAGAAGGAGGATAAGATGTTGATAAATGATGATTATTATAGTAATTTGAATAATGATAAGATGACGTTTTATTATTGTTGATTGCCATTGGATTTGCCTGATTACGTATCGTCGGACTTGATAAACAATGTTTCACTTTAGTACTATTATTATTATTGTTCGTTGAAACAGTTTTTGATAAATCAGGTATTGGTAATATACCAGGCGGATAATTACCATTAGGTAATAGAAATGACGATGTCTTTGTTGGAGACACACTACTGTCTTTTAAATAAGAATTTTTACGATAATTTGGCATTTTACAATATAAATAGAATATAATAATTGATTAATAGATAACAATAAAGAGATCTTGAAATAAAAGTCATGTTCGTTGTTTTGGATTTACAAGTGAGAAAAACAAAAAACCATCGTAATAAACTAACAGAACATCTATCTATTCAAATCTTTTTGAACACCATCCACTCAACTATCTATACAGATTTTAGTATACTCTATGTGCAAAGGTTCATAAAAAAGGGAACATTATTTCTATAGGCGAACAAAGCTTCTGGGCGAAAATATATGGTAAGAAAAATACTTCCTATAACAATGGAATAAAATAGAAGTCAACTGACATTTATCTCTCTTTAATACCATTGCTTGACGGTTCATGCGCTCCTCTCGTAAAATGTGAACAAAATTTGAAACAAAGAAAGGTCATGATTGAAATACATGAAAGAGAATATACTGGAAACAGAAAAAGACAAAAATTTTACAATACAACTCCTATTTATATCGACAAGAGAAATGAGAAAAAAAGCTTAAAACATAGTTCTTATATGGTCTATATATCTACCTATATAGTATAAAACGCACATATGTAAAGAAGGGGGAAAAAAAAGTTTTTTTTCTTTCTCTTATCGTCGGCCGTCGATGTCAAAACACATACCCTGATTTTGCGAAGGCGGAACGAAGAAAAAATAGATGTGTTGTTATGATCAACGCAAAATATAGAACCAGAAATACAACATATGTGCCACGAAAACAGTTTTCATCAAAAACTTTCAAATCATGAGAACACAACCGCTTACCTCACTCTTAACATAACTTTCTGATAATGTTTTTAAGACTGTTAAAGTTTCTCAAATAATTTCAAGCTAGAAAAACTTTTCAGCCTAAGAGTTCTTAAAATAATTTCACTTAAAAATCACTTTATCATAAAAGTAACAGTTTTCAACATTCGATAAGTTTGTATAATAAATATACGTAAATAAGAGTAGCAAAAAATCTGCAACATTAATGTACTTGAAACAAATTTGAATAAGTAATACATTGCCGTATTTACTTTTAAGAAAAAAAATGAAATAAACATGATGCACGATTATTATGTTCGTCTTGGTCATATTCAATAAATTACACACCGACAAAAATAAAAAGTTGTGTATCCAATCGATCAAACGGCAAAACAATTCAAACAACGCCCAGAAAACAAAACAAAATAGATATCGAAGCATGGATAAAAGTAATCCTTGAAAGGAAACGCCATCACTTAAAGCAAAAGTTATTTTCCGTTTCAGGAGAATAACTTTTAGAAATCACGTTTTCTTTTAAAAAAGTGAGTATTTCGTTATAAAATGCAAATCAACGTGTAGCCTGAACTTTTTACTTTGAGAACCTGTATCACTTTTTTGTATAGTATTGTTGTTGCTAAGACGTATTCTATTTCTGTGTGCAACTGCGCCTTAAACAGTTATACACATATTTGTACGAGTCTTGTGAAAATATTAAACGCGCTAATTTAATTTACCAGTTCACATTGTCTGAACTAATAATTTTTTCTTGTTAACATTTAAACGAAGCTTTTAGCGAGTTGATTCTAAAATTTTCTCCTTTTCTTAAGTGAAATGAAAATCTATGGGCAACAAACATCATCATTTAAAAACTTACAACGGAAAATCCATGTCACAAAGTAACGGAGAGTAGCATCATCTCAATCAACAGTCAAATATCAGTTTCTCATTTATTTGACATAAACCAGATCTCTGAAATTACTAGTACAAAATGCCCGAATAATTGTGAGAAATGCTGCGTGAAATTATTATGATATTTGCAGGTCAAGCAGACCTTTATAATGTAAATTTTAAAGTCAAAAAACTAGAAGAAGCAAGTTGGTTTTATTTAAGTTAACCCACTGATGTTAGCAACAAACAGTATTCCAGATGGTGTCTTCAGAAATAAATAACATCAACGTTTTCTGCGCTATTATTGTTCGATAAAACTAATTTCTCTTTTCTCATCGGGCATTAGTAGAAAAAACGCTATCGAGCTAAACACCAGCAAATAGGAAATATCATCAAAATAAAAAATGCACTAGTCACTCGTACTGAGTAATGCGACTACTTCGATAATAATTGACTTAAAAGAGACTAAAACAGTTGAAAAAGTTGATATAAAATCTGAATACAAGCAGAAAAATATTCCAGTATAGTATTCTAAACTAAAACTATCGAAAAACACAAAATCAATTTTGTACGAATACACAATCGAACACATGATCTTAGCTTTGCAGTAAAAGTTCTGTCAGTGCAACTCATGACGAATGCCTTTAAGATCTTATGATCACTTGTAGTAACACGTGACTGCTGATGGTGTTCATACATTGAAGAAACTTTGTCATTAAGTCATCAGTGAGATGATGAAAATCTTAATTAATCGATTTACATTACGAGGAAAAAACCAATATATAATCTTTTTTTTATACTCTCTAGCATGAGTGATATGTTGTTTTTCATTCGTCATAATTATAGACAAAAAAAAATATGTGGGACTCCTTTACATGTTCTGTCGTCATTATCAATAACGATGCAATTGTGTATAATTAAACTGGAATGTTGTGCAACATTTATTAAAATGTCACTACTCAAGCAAGTCGGAATTTAGACGCATAAACACATAAACCTCAACAATTCCATTTGAAAGAGATCGAGATAAAGAAAGTGGGGTCAAAACATGCAGTAGCAGCACGCTTCACTTTTTTTATGCATGAAATAAAATATAAAAACAAAATGACCCGAACTGTTTTGCCCTAGTTTAGATACATAGACTACAATGAGAAAAAAAACAATAACCTGTTTCCATACAAAAAATTGTTAGTTTTTAAGTCAAAAATGCAAATACTGCATAGTATCGAATGTAAATATATCTATCCCTTTTCATTCTTTTTCTCTATCTCTCCCCATGACACACATAACATGCACTGGCAAAATACAGGATAGATTTGCTTGTTTTTCGTATATTTACCACACATAACATAAGAAGTATCTAGAAAAAAACCGGTTTAACTTACTTTCTCTCTCAAATGCATTATTCATAAGCCCTTTTTTTCGTATCCTGCTGTTTTATTTGACAAGCAAAAGAAATCGTCATAGCAGGCCGCAAAAATCTACTATAGAAAAGAACAAATAAGAAAAGAGCTGGCGAATCAATATTTTGTCTATTATTTGTTGTTTCCCTTCATCTTGTTCGTTATGTGCAATGATTATAATTGAAATTAACATGTAATTTACATACAACAACTTGCAAAATATATGAAATTTATATATACGCGCCTCCCTTTTGCATGATATTGATATCCAAGACAACTGAAATCTACTTTTTCAAAAACAACAAGTTACTTCATACAACATTCGACCATACAAGGTTTAAGTAAACAGATTGGATTTCAACCATATTATAAAAGATAATAACGCGATGAACAAATAATGTATATTCAGGTTTCTCATTTATTCACTGAATAGCGCTCGGACACTAGTAGGCGAAGCTTGTACAGCAGTAAGTACCTTTTTCTAAAAGGCTTGCCAGTAGTGTATGTTACTTTTTTCCAGAAAAACTAAATGACGCTATAATACGTTAGCTTGGAAATTTGAGTGTAAAAACTAATCTTATTCAAAACTAAAAAACTAAAAACGTAAAAAAGGTAGTTTTACGTAAAAAACCGTTCAATTCTTTGATGTTCAAACAGATTTACTACATGAATAAACTCAAGTAGATCGCGTCAGCATTTTTTTATCAGCAATTCGACAGTTTCATAAACGAATGCGTTCACACATATACATTAAGTTATCAACAGGAAACGGCTACCCATCATTTACATAACTTTTGCTCATTATTCTCTCTTCTTTTACCGCTATATAATAACCCTAAAGGAATATTACTACTGTTATCGAGCAATATCGTGTGTGCTCTTCGATACTTTTCTCAGTGTCAAACTACGCTGCGGGTTTGAAAAGCGAAGAAAACACACAAATCAGAGCGCCTCGCAGCTTCCTCATATATGAGTAAGCACTACTTACTACGGTTCATTTGATAGTGATAATGCTCAGATATTTTATTTATTGTGCAAATCATTACTAGTAGTAGGGAAATGTCAAGAGTTTTGAATTTTAATCCATACAGTTGGTAGCTGATCGTTATTAATTTGGATATTATATGGAGAGAGGCTGAAACCTGAAAAGAACAAACAAAAGTAAAAATACCATATATTCTCAAACTTAAAGCAAAATACAATATATCCTCGAGCCTTATTCTACGAAATAAAACTCTTTTCACATTGACTTCAATGCATAAGTGCTTTCTTTGCAAAATTCGAACATTGTTGTTGCCTAGCAAAATGACTGACTGTGTAAAATAATGACGATTTGATAACCGTAAACTCTCAGATCAGAGAAATCACTCATTAAAACCAGAAATCTACTGTGATTTATTAAAACTAAAGATATCCATATGGAAGTCACATTATTTGTACTGACAATATTATGGACCATTTTCAACCCTTTCCTACCGTATTCGATATAGGCACAGACCCGTGATTCTTCGAAAGCACGTTCGTTTTTGATGACTCATCGATTTCTTAAAGTACTACCACGAAAAACATTAAAATTTCAGTCTAAAGGATCTTTCGTTGGTGAGATACTCCACAATAACGTTTTTAATCATTGATTCTCATAATCTACTCGGCGATGAAATCGAGTGGAACACAATAAGTTTCGGATAAAACCAAATCTCGAAAAAATTGGAGCAAGCAAGTTTTTCTGATTAACAAACTTCTTGGTTTTAAACATAATAAAAATTAAATCGAAAAAGTGTACTACTATCCTGAGCGACTATACGGACTCTGCCAGAATTAATCAGTGTTCGTTGAACACAGAGCTGGGCTAGTCAAAAATGATTTGACTTGACTTGGCCTGACTTGAAATTTTTTTAAAAGACTCGACTTGACTTGTGACTCGGCATAAAAAATCAAGTCAAGTCATGCATATTTTTAAATCTCTTATACAATCTAATTTTAACCTCCTGAATGCCGGAAGGCATCTGTAGATGACATAAAGGAAATTTTATATGTTGCATATGCTTTTTCGTTCTATCGATTAAACGGAAAAAAAGTGGCAGAGGAACACATGTCACGAAAACAACAGAACGCAATGAGAGATATTTAATCGTTTTTTACATATGCATGCCTTTGAATGCGGAAGACGAAAAATAACGGCATTCAAGCGGTTAAATAATAATTCATAATGGGGTATAGTAAAACATGAAGATACCCACAGACACTTACAGACACCCACAGACAGCTGCACAGACATCCATTAATGTCTGTGTAGCTGTCTGTGGATGTCTGTGTGTTGTCTTCATGTTTTACTATTACCCTTCATAATATTTTGGGAATGTTGATGTTATAACGTAACGTCTCAACTAAGATACTATCCATATTTTAATCAAGTATCTCAGTTGAGCAACCATTATTTCTGCGAAAATATTCGTTTCTCAACTGCGACACAATTTTGACACGTGCGTTGAAACGTGCGATAGGCGAGTTTCATGAAAAATATTTTTTTCATATCTCATCCCCAACAAAACATCTTTTAAAACCCTCGGGGGGGTTTGAGTTTTAGGCCATGCTGATTCTAATGGCGTTCTCAGTCTTGTCACATTGCTTAGAAGACTCAGTTTACTGGAAAACCAGTTTTTAAGAAACTCTGAAAAACAACCAAAGTTTTGCTTAATGAGCCATGCTTGTAGCCCGCACATTTCTGATTAAAAAAGCCCTAAATATTTATTGTCAGCTCAGAGCTACAGAAATAAGAAGAAATTAATTTAGGGCTTTTCTTGTAAATTCTATAACTTTGCAAAGAAAGGTCATGTAGAGTGGGGAGAGGTCTCATTTTAATCAGAAATGTGCGGGCTACAAGCATGGCTCATTAAGAAAACCTTTGGTTGTTTTTCAGAGTTTCTTAAAAATTGGTTTTCCAGTAAACTGAGTCTTCTAAGCAATGTGACGAAAGTGAGAACGCCATTAGAATCAGCATGGCCTAAAACTCAAACCTCCCAGAGGGTTTTAAAAGATGTTTTGTTGGAGATGAGATATGAAAAAAATATTTTTCATGAAACTCGCCTATTGTGCAAGAGTGCAGTGTGCAAAGGTCTATTATTTAATAGTTCTACAAAATCTATAAGAATTACAGCGACTTTCACGCCATTTTGCATACTTAGGATAGTCAAGAGAGATACATCATATACCTAATTTCATTTCATTCACTATTGAATAATAGACCTTTGTATGCCAGGGCTCGAAACAGGCCCACACTTCTGAGGCCTGCGTCAGACCTGTAATGTTTAGATCTGTCGATATATTTCCTGGGCCTTGCCTGTCTGCCTGCTATTGTTCTCGGCCTACCCTGGCCTGGTCTGTAGAAGTCTGGTCATTTTTTAATAAACAAAATGTACAAATAATAGTAACATAAGATGAAAAGAAAAGTGACAGATAATTAAACAATATATGAGTAAAAAAATTTGGTTTTTGTTCAAGTATTTTCTGAACTGATCTAACTAACAAGATATCCTCAACCGTGTCAGGATTTAGATGCACGGCGTTCATTAATAACCAGACTAGGCCGCCTGGCGTTTTCAAAGGTCTGCCTGAATCTATTTGAGTTTAGGCCTGGTCTACCTTAGCCTGGTGCAGGCCGAAAATTTGTAGCCTGGTCTGTCTGTAACAGGCAGGCCCAGGCAGGCTGCCTGGCCTGGTTCGAAGCTTTTTGTAGACTGCACTCTTGCACGTGTCAAAATTGTGTCTGGGTTGAGATACTTGATTACAATATGGATTGTATCTCAGTTGAGTCCAAACCTGTTATAATATAAGTAATATGAACTATGTTAGGCTCATTAGAGCATTTTCTTTTTTATGATTATCGTTTGAAATACGAAAAAGAAACATCGTATCTAAACAAAAAGCCGAAGCTCATAGAAAATCTGTAACCTGCCCAGTTCCGCTTTGGAAATTTTTCTACGGAAAAAATTTCAAACATAACTTGTGACTTGACTGGAGAATTGTTTTTATTACTCATGACTTGACTCGACTTGATTTGAGAAAATTTTTGGTGACTTGACTTATGACTTGGAAAACCCGTGACTTGTCCATCCTTGGTTGAACGTAAGTTAAAGTTGAAAACATGACACGCAAAAGCAAACAGTATAGGAAATAGTTCAAAACTCGAAGGACACAAATAGCTTTGAATTATCAAATCTTTATAACTTTAACTTACCATTGTTGTAGTGTATTGATTGGTGTAAAAAAAATACTTTTACATTTTTTGTGTTTTTAGTTTAAACTAAGTTTATTAAAACAACAAATCGAGCTATGTTCATTACATGTTGTGACAATTTGATCAAAAGAGAAATACAGTTAAATTGCTAAAAAGAGCTCAAACCACTAACTAACACGACATGAATAAAGCTGTTCAATAATCCCACAGATCTGCAGCTAAAGAAAAGAAATCTTGCCGGTTAAGTACTACCGCTAAAATGTGTATACTCAAGACTTTTATATGTTTGGTTCGATCATCAGAAAGTTTTCGACAACAATATATCGAAAGTGGTGGCATCCCATAAAAAAAGTTTAGAATTTGCTAGTTCCAAGCATCAGATCTTATAGGAAGCGGCTAATTTCAATCGAACTTCTTGGCCTTATATATGTCCGAGATGCGAGCTCTGTTTGTATGTGCGAGCAGCAAATTTACGAAAAACATGGTAATTTCTTTCTTTATGATATGAGGCAGACGAAAAAAGACAACGAATTAACTCATCTGTTCCGAAGTCCGAGCAGTTTCACTTTTATGAGACGACGAGTTCTATTATATCAACGTGAATAGAAAAATAAAGTTCATGCAGAGTCGCGGAAAAGTCCTTTTCGTATTCAGCACACTCGATAATCCCGAAGATTTCGTATTTTTGCTGAGGAGTACTGCCAACAGTTGCGGAAAACTTTTCAAACAAAACGGCAGAAAAAAATTTCTATGGTAAAGTAATATTCGTTTCAAAAATTTTCTTGAACTTTTGACAATACATCTCGCAAAAAACAGAAAATCTTTGAGATTATCGAGTATGGTGAATACGAAAAGGCACATTTCTAAAATTCTAAATGAACTTTATTTTTCTTTCGGTGACACGAGAAAAATGAGAAAAAGTAAAACCATATTTGGGAAGAAAAGAACCGGATAGGTCTCAGGCGAGCGCCACGTGTTGCCTGATTGATTTTTGTTACAAACAAAAAGGATAAAGCAAAGGTAAAAATTTGACTTTCTAATTCGGGAAAACTTAAATCAATATCGAGAACAAGAGTCATAACAAATTCCAGCGAGTTCATCATAGCATTTCATTGGATCAAGGTAGGAAAAGAAGAAACCATATTAAACCAATGAAAAGTATAACACCAGAATCCTAGCAATCCGATTTTGAATTATAGTGCCAAGATTTCCACGATGAACCCTAAATGTAAAAAAACAACAACTGAGACATGTTTTGTTCAGTTCAAGCAATGGAAAAACTCCCATCTTACTACTCCTTTTATCAGCGCGTATTTTTTTGATAGTACTCTTCTATGATGTAGTGGCGTCTATGTTGCAGTATGCTTGAGGCTAACTGCCTCAAATAAAAACCTGGGGGTATATTACCTAAGTAAATGAGGAAAATAATTCTAGAAAACGCACTGTTCATATCAGAAGATGAGTTCTTTTAATAAAATAACATGAGGTTTCGATTTTCTTGTACGCACGTTTTCTTTTAACCGTAAGGTCAATGAAAGGGAAGACTGATGGCCTCAAACCATGAGAAGGACATCCAACATTGCTATAAAGGGAGGAAAACTCGATACTTTCTTTTATACATTTTATCTGTGGCTTTGTTTCTTTATTCTCTTCTTGCTTCTGTATGCACAGTTTTGTGCTTGTAATTCGTTAGTTAGTGGCTGTGATGGTTTTTATGTTGTTGAATTGATTTTGAATTTAGCGTCTTTTAGATTATGCCTGAACCGATAAAAGATATCGAAGATTTTTTCAATAAAACAACAACTAAATTATTAAAGACACAAGGGAAAGTATGCGTCTATTTGATTTTTGTTTTTCATATTAGTTCAGAAATTTTTTTTAGAATTTTATTAAAATTTATAATGAACTAATTCATGTTACAAAAAAACGTGCATCAAAGCTGAATGGATCTATTATTAACTTACTTCAGCTTGCTTGCTCGTGGATTGAGTGAGTATTGTTTACTTTTCTTTATATTTGTATCATACCTCTTTTTCTCTAGAGATTCAACTTGTACGCCAATCTGGCAACCATTAATTGATATCTCTGCTGAAATATTAAACTGTTATGGTTCGTTCGATAGTGATGATGCTCAGATATTTGATTTATTGTTCCAGCCATTACTTGAAGTATGCCACACCAAAGATGATAGTAATCATCTAACTTTTTATTAATCGGTTTTATAGGATAATTCTGAAGGACGATCGGATTTATTTATGTTTATCGAACGTATTTTAACAAAAATTCAGGCTGGTTTTAGTTTCTTAATTAGCGATGTGAGTCTACTTTGTATCATTTGCTTTTGCTTCACACTCTTTTCCTCGCCTGTTTTTAGTATTTCAAAAAAATGTTTACAGATGCGTTATCGTCAAATGCAAAATCAAAATTGCAAGAAAGTTATAACTTATTACAAATCGTCCATATACATATACCAGATTCAATTCATACCGTATTGCATATTCATCATTTGTATTTAAAAGTAAGAAGATGAAAAAATTCACATCATTTTAGACACTTTTCTGAGACTTTTTTGTTCTTTCTATAGAGTGAAAACATAAAACAACGTGAAATCGGTATTAAATTTCTTATTGATGTCCTGTCTGGCGTTTATACTGTTAAATTCAAACAAGATGAATTACCTATCCTTGATGACTTTTGCGCAAGGTTAGCGAGTAGTAACATTGTTTTTTTATACCTTCTCCTTCCCGTATTTTTCTTTTTTTTTCATAGATTTGGTGACAATGAACTTTCATGTCAACAGTTAATGGTTGCAAATCTGTCCACATTTTTATTACGTAGCAGTGATATTACAAGCAAATTAATAAGTAGCGTGATTTTCATTTATTAGATTATCTAAATTCCTACTAAGATTCCTTTGAATTTAGAACCAATTCTTGATTGCTTTCAATCTGTAGACACATCGTTGAGCATCTCAAAAGCAATTGTTGAACAAATTAGTATAGCAATTAAAGATTGTTATCATGCAGCACCAAATGAATTATTATATTTATTATTGTCTGCTTGTAGTCATAAAGCGGTACGTAGAGAATAATGAGTTAATGAATTCAAAAATAAACTTTGCAGCTGCCTTTCTGCTTAAAGAAACTAGTTTACTTAACTGGTTATTAAAATGGTAGAATAAAGTGAAAATCTTACATTGACGAGAAGTAATCTCAGATGAACTAGATTGCTTAAAGATCATTTATACTCTTCAAAGATTAACCAAATATTTTACTTAAAAGACATGCGACAATTTTTGTACTTTGTAATATTGAAGATGTTTCAATTTTAGCCTCATGTTGCTATTGAATGTATTCATACATGTTCGTATTTATATCGTATTTATTATGTCAAAGATACTTATTCATCACCTACAAGATTGCGCCTGGAAACAGTACCACGTTTTATTTTAGCTGCAGCTATTGAACATAAAGATATTGGTGTGCGGTAAATAAGTCATAAAACATTTTTTTTAAATGAAAAATTTCTTCACCCTTATCATTTTCTTACTAGTGTCGAAGCACAATGTTGTTTTTTTCAAAATATTATTTTTGAACGTTATCGTCCATTAGAACGAACGCGTCAATTTTTTCTTTTTGCACAAACTGATCTTGGTCGGGATGGAATTAAAAACTATGGCAAATTATTAACTTCTCAATCTGAGTACGTTGAACTTGTCTGATTACGACTAAGCATTGATTTTTCATCTCTTTTTCAGATTACGCGATCTTGTGGATAAAGCTTTATCAAAATATTATTCATCTGATAATTCTGAATTATTCATTGCTGATGAAAGTTTAACTGAATTAAATGATGATGCTAAACGTTTACTACAACAGATCAGTGACTGTAAGTAAATAGAAGAATGTCAAAATTTATTGCTAGTACTATTTCGATTTCTTTTCTAGTGTGTTTTTCGAAAAAAGATAATGGCGTGAGAAAGATTCATAATTATTTCTCAACTCTCGATTCATCATTCAAAGAAGAATTGCAAACCTTGCGAACTGATTCAACACTGGATACATCGTCTCTATCATTACAGAAAACAATCATTGTATACGAAGAAAAAAATGCTTTCTAAGATGAGTTTATTAATTCGAGTTCGTTTTTAGGACAGTGCTGATATGTCAAAATCGTCGTTATCAGCACAATCAATGCTGGTTTATGAACGTCTTTGTCCTCGTTTACAAATCGTATTCTCACATGATTTCTTAGAACAATTTCCAGACGCTGCTCAAACGTATTTCACAGAAGGTACATTGCTTGATATACTAATATAAAATATAATTCATAAATTCTTATTCTGTTCAGAAACGGCTAGAAATGATACTGACGATGAAGAAAAAGATATGAGTGATAGTGAAAAAGCAAATGTGGAACAAACTATTAACAACTATGAACGTCGAGCTATACGACAAATTGGAAAGTTAGCTAAAGTAAGTAAAATCATAAGATAGTTGTTCTATTTCGTCAAAGTGTCAGTTATTTTTTGAGGTAATATGTCCAGTTATTGAAGCTGCCATGGACGTTGAAATTCTAGAAAAATTTGTTGGTGTGATTGATGAACAAAAGCCAGTTCTAAGTATATTTTAAATCATGATAATTTGTGATTTATAACAGATCATCTTCTAAACTCTAAACGTTTTTTGGTCTACTATATGTTTATCTCTCAACTTATCTTCAATAAAGCCTCATGTATGAAAAAACCAGTAAAAATCGAGTGTAAATGAAACAAGAGGAATTTATTACAAAAGCAATATCCTTTTGACAGAAATAGATCAGAGACCTGTTCTCAAAACAACTTAAGTGCGATCTGTTTCTCAAAAAAACTTAAGTTTTACTTAAGTAGAAAATTTCACTTAAGTAAACAGAAAATTATACTTAAGTTTTGTTAAGAAACTGGCCTCTGACATAATACTATAATATTTATTAACTATTATTTTGAGTCTTCTCTTTGTAATTATTAAGATACATTTTTGATAATTTACTGATTCAGTCTTTGTTTCTCGGAATCACCAAAATTTTCCGACATGATTTTTCTATGTTTATTTATTTAGATACGTTTATCTATGCATTATTAGCAGATTTTGGTGGTTTGTTGAATCCTGGCGCGTTGAAAAGTGACCTTATTGAGTATGTACAATGATTTTATGACATTGTGTACAGTTACATGTTTTGTTTTTGTTTACGTTAGCCATTTATTTGGCGTTATTTATAATGATATTGTTAATGGTGCTTCAACAACAATTAGTAAATGGGCTATTCGTGCATTTGTCCAAATAATTGGTTCAAATCAAAACCATCTTGAACAGTCATATATTGACCTATTTGAAAAAGTATTGTTCTTATTTCTCTCTCCAAACGAAATTTTTTATTGTTATTTTTTTATTTCTAGACAAAATCATATTGGATATTAACAGATGAAGATGTTGCTGCACCCTCCCGATGGCTTCTGTTAAGTCATGTGGTTAAGCATGCACCTCAAACAGATACAATGTTTAAAATTATACGTCATTTATTTAAGATGATTCGACAAATTGCAAAAGTATAATAGCAAAAAAAAAGATAAAAAAAGAAAACCGAAATTATTCGTCTACTTTCATTTTAGACTAATGGTCATACGAAAAAAGAACTAATGAAAAATTTTGATATTATACCAAAAAATATTCAACTTAGAGTAAACTTTATAGAACGACTATTTTCTTCACTCTACTTTACGTTATTTTGTAGGTAAATCATTTAAAATTTTTATCACGTTCATGCTATCCACTCTCTGCTCAACGTATTCAACATGAAAAAGATGTCATTGATGAAGATGAAACTGTCGATGATCAAGAATACGAAAATCCTATACGTCATATTATTGATTTTCTATTGGATTTAATTAATGATGTATTTTTCTTATCCGATGATGAGTAAGTTATTTGATTTGTAATAATAGTTTTTCTCTAAATTTAATTTTTATCATCAATAGAATTGGACGACATTATGTTCAATTACATGCTTCCTTTGAACTATTACGTATGATTGAAATAAATGAAATTTATCATTTACTTAAACCATCTGATTATGTAAAACTTTATACAATTGTAACAGTAAGTTTGGAAAAAAGATGAGTAAATTAATCGATGTATGATTCGTTTTTTCCTTTTATAGCATGAAAATTCGAATGTACGTCATCAATTTTTAGATAGATTATTAAGTAAAATTGTTCAATGGAAATTAAGTGTTATATTTCTTGGTTATACAATTGCTGTGCCAAATGATAGTGAAGATAAAGTGACACAAAAAATATTAAAACAAATAATTGAACGATTATATATTTTATCTTCGAATGAAAATAGTAAATATGATTGTTTTTATTAAAATAAATACTAACAAACAAAAAAAAGAATATTTTCATTTCTCATTTAGCTAATGCAGTTCGAATGAAAATATTACCAGAAAAATCAATATCATTGATGATTTATTTACATGCACATAATAAAAGTCTTATAGCCGAAGTTGATAAAGAAATATTGGATTCAATTACAACGTAAATTATTTTCATTCTTCTTGTTATATAAAAAAAAACAAGAATAAATGTAAACAAGATGTTTTCATTTTTAGTTCAGCAAAATTTAGTTTGAAATGTTTGATACAATGTCGTGAACGGCCAAAATATTTACATGGTACAATACCAAATTTACTTTTATCAATTAAACACAGTCGAGCAAAAGAATATCCGGATGATGAAGATTTAAATAAAGTATGTATCAAATTTGATATATTATTCGATAAAATAAATAATTTCATTTTTTTTTTCTTCTAGAGAATTTATTTAGTTACTGATATATTTCAAACTGTATTTAGTGAACTATCACCATTGGAATCATTTGAATTTAGTTCAAAAAATAATAATAATCCCGGTGATCCACTATTTTTTACACAACCAAATTTTGTAAGTTATGCGATTGTAAAAATGTTCATATTATAATTATTTATTTTTCACTAGTCGTGGAATAATACAGATTCTTATTTACCAAATTTTTATGGTCAAAAACGGTCACGAAAGAAAACGAAAGAAGATGTTTTAGATAAATTATTAGGAAATGATACAACAACAGAGAAAATTGATGAAACAACAGATTCTACAATAGCAAATATCGAAGAAGTAGATGATAAAAATCTTCGAGAACAAACAACTAAATCTGATCAAGATGATGACGAAGAGGAAAAAGAAAATGAAAGTGAAACAGAAAATGAACAAAAAAGGTTAATTCTTTAAATTAATTCAATAATTGATACATATATCAAAATTTTGTTGTATTAATTTGTAGTACGATAATGACAAGATCGGGTAGAAAACGAAAAACACCCGGAGCAAGACAAAAGGCAAGGTAGGCTATTTTGTTTAAATTTATTCGAATTTATTGATTGAATTTTCTACATGAATACGGAAACAGCTAGCTATTGTTGAACTTAACGTTTTTTCTGAACTTTGCCTACTTTCGCATATTAGTGCTATTCAACGAACGTTTATTTACATTTGTAGATCTTCGAAAAGAAAATCCAAATGAATGCGTTTTTTCTTTTTTTTTTACTTATGTTACTATATTGTTTTTATGAAATTTAATCCAGATAAACTGATTCTCACTCTTTTACGTAGAAGATTTCTTTTCGGTGTGTTTTTTTTTATACATTATTTTTTTGCTGTTTTCTTTTCACTTGAACATGAAGTCATCTTTTTACAATTTTTTTTTTCTCACTTAGCATAATCTGGTTTTGTGTTTTTTCTGTGTGTGTATATAAATGATATTGAAGTGATATGCACAACTCGAACTTTATTTTTCGTTAAATAAAGACATCTAGAAATTAAAATAAATTACGTCACAGGAGAAAAAATTGACCAAATGTGTGCTTATTTTATTGGTAAATATATTTGTGTGCAAGATTATAAGATGTGACATCTGTGATTGTTAGACTTTGACATTTAGAAAGACCATCTGAGTTTTCATTTTATGACTTATCACTCTTTTCGAACTTTAATGTTAACAGATGTAATCATTTATCAGCCATGGTGTACGAAATTGTTTAAAGTGGACAAACTGCACATACTTTTATTTATTTATTCGCTCATTTCTTCCAGAAATTAAACGAAAAAATAAACATTGTATTTCTATGTAATATTTTCTAAGATTTATGTCAAATAAACCAGCTAATTATTTATTTTAATCTTAATTAAATAAACCTGGTCAACATTTAAAAAGCTTTACAAGGTTAATCTTTGACTCTGTCAATAAAAAGATGGAGGTAAGTAAACTGAGAGTTTTTCCTAATAGACTTTAAATACAAGAGTTGCTAGGAAAGTACTCCTATGAACAGTGTTGCTAACAAATAAAAAGTAGAAGTAAAATATCAAGATTAATTATGGATGTGAACACTTTTACTTCAAAGTTTTTATTAAAAACACTAGTGAAGGCAAATAATGTACCTAAGTAATGAATGAGCGAGCACATTTTTAATAAAAAATTTTATAACAAAAATCATCGTAAAAATTTAGTTAATAATAGTGATGTGAAGATGTTATATTTAGAAAAATCTTCGTTCTCTGACCTTCGTTCTTTTTCACCTGCATAACTGTATTTTACCTATTTGTTGTGTTTACTTAATTCTCATAAAAATGAATGGTTTTTTTTCTTCTTTGCATTATGCTTATTACAAGGTAAATAGAAAGGTAAGAGAAAATTGTACAACTTCTTAGTACTTTTATCTTAATTAACGTAGAAGACAAGGCGACCGTTATTAACTGTTAACTAAAGCAGCATGTAAAGTTTTTGTTTCGTAGATTTCAGGAATTTATGACACTATTATAATCTCAATGCATAATCATTGTTAGAGGTCAAATCTCTTTTATATTTAAACGCTGCTTTTTTTTTGTCTTAGTTGATCTGATCTGCTAAATTACATCTAACTTCTTGTTAATTAATATTTATATTTTAATAAACCAGCGAGCTAGACAAAAAAGAATAAAGCATAATGGAAGAAAAGTATCAGTCATCAATTTCTCAGATATACATCAATGCTTGAGTGTCGATTCGTACCTTATGTAAATCTCTGCACGTAGAAGTTCTGCTTCTTTCACAGCCAAGAAGGAGAACGTCAGTCAAAGTGATGATAGTTTTAATGACAAGGAAAATTAAAAGACTTAAGGAAATATTTTTTTCTATTGCTATTTTTGTGATAAACGTTTAGCAGGATTAGAAACATTATCTCTTTGTTATTTGTATCTTTTCAATAAAAAAAATAATGCAACGTTTGAAGAAGAAACCCGATCTCGTTCCGAACCAGAACCCATGGGATCGGGATCAGATTAAACCCACAGGACTCTACTCCAAAGAGTGTTTCAAATACTCTTAGATGTAATAATTATGTATTCTTCAGACATATCCTTAGACGAAAAAGAAACCTATTACCAAGTCTCTAGAATATTGGAAACATAGAGAAACAGCGTTTCAACATTTGTAGCAAACTTATGCACACTTCGTTAATTTACTTTTAACTTTATTTAATAAAATTTTTAACAAAAGGGCAAAAATAGCAGTAATATGTGAAAATAAGATTTAAATAAGACTAAAACAATACAATACAGTAGAATTGATTTCGATGGATATATTGACATCTTTTCCACTTCAATATGCAAACTGGTTAAATTTTACATATTGAAATAACAGAAAATGCCTACGAGTTCAAATTGCTACTGGATCTGAAACAATTTCAATTAAAGAATGGTAGAATGCATTGAGCTGTTGGTTTATAATATGATTGTATCTACTAAGATCCTGCTATTATAATTTTATCACTACTATATCGTTGTTCGCTCAAATTTTCACAAAAATTGATTCCGGTTAAAATCGTAAAATATATGAATAGTTTCTAATGTCACTAAATTATTATTGTAGTTTCCACTTTTTCTTCTTATAATTATTATTATTTTTGTTCTATTTTTACAAAATTTAAAAGGCGATTCATTAAGCTTATGTGTACACGTGTGAAAGAAGGTAATACACATCCATTAGGGACAAATCAAAAGGACACCGCATCGATCAATGTTCGAGAGTGAAAATGAGTTATATCTAATATATAATTTTAAAACATATAATTGCTGTAAAAAAAGTTCAAAATTTTTATTATCAAATATTTTTTTATCATTAATATAATCCAATTAGAGAAAATCTTTCGTTTTTTTCTTCACATGAATTGTGAAACAGAACTTCACTTTCTAATTTCTTTTCTTTTTTTATTCAAATAATCTCATTTGATCTATAGTTTATGTACATTAAGTGACTCTTGTAGTTATTTCCTTTTTCTCTCTCTCTGTCTCTTTCTTTGTTCTGCTATTAGAAATTATGTGTATCCATCATGATCATGATCATTAGTAAAAAGTGTTAAAAATCTAATATATTTGTAAAAAATATGGAGTAATAATCATTACTTTACAGTAGAGTAGACTTGATTAGAAAGAGAGAAAAAGAATATACAAGAAAACGATATATCTGTTGTTTACTTTTCATGAGGATGTTATTTATTTAAATTTGTTTTTTTATTATTGGCTAAAATAATTATTATATCGTGAGAATATTGCTAATGTCAATGAAATTGAAATATAACCATTTGAAGTGTTTTTCACAAGGTAATTGCAAAGATTTTTTTTTATCATACACTAAGATTATTTATCTTATAAGTGATGTTGATCACATATGGAAGAAAGCGTAAACATGTAGACTAAGACGTTTTTAAGCATTATGGTAGAAGTTTTTAAGAAGTGATAAATTATAGTATTGCGTATTACTATTAGAAAACGAAGATTAAAAGTTCAATTTCAAAATAAATGCCAACGAAAACAATTTTGAAACATACCGTTGTGTCAAATCTTATTGTAGATATGTTTGCTTTATACTTTTATCTAATACCAGCTTGACGACAATCAAAAAGATGTGAATGTGTACTTCTCTTGATTATTTGCCTCTTTTTGTGATCTATTTCAAACAAATCATTTTTATTTCTTTTCGACATAACATGTTGTACTTAGAGAGGCGAAACAGTCTAATGAATATCGGGACTGATGTATATCATATTAATAACAATCTCGACTATAATCGCAACATTTAATGGTGTTCTAGGGCTTTTAAGTTTGTTGAACTCTATATGTATAATAGATATTAAACATAAAATGGCCTTTTACTTTAGGCGATTGTTTTTTTTGTATACAGAGATAGCTTTCATAGTCTTGTGCGTTCGTTCATCTAATAAAATAACAAAAAAAAAAAAAATATTATTGTTGTTGTTGGAAAGAGATATTGCCATAAGATCTGTAAATCTAATCACCTGAACAGTGTACTTGTAAAAAAATGCAAGAATATCCTGAAGCAATTCTAGCAGAACAGAAAAGGATTAGTTTTATAAATAAGAGACTGAACAACGGAGCTAATATTAATTATTACACTCTTATAACTTACCTGAGATTAAACCAAAGTAGAGTGGTTATAGAACTGTACTCATGCATAGATTTCTTTAACGGTAGTAGTCAGAATTTGTGGAAGATGATTACAAATACAAAATCTATAGATATATTTCTGCAAGTTGTCATGTTGAGTTTTTTACTGCAAGTTAATGGGAATATTGTTAATGGTTGCACAATTTTATATCATTTTACTATAAACATCCATGTACTTTTAACCTGTTAACACACGATCAATCAACATAGTGACACTACTCAAGTAAAAAATGATGTTTATTATCCCATCGGATGTAATACGATAAGGTCAATTAAAATGATTCTAGGCAAAGGGAGTAGCGGTAACTATTGATCTATTTTTCTTAGAAAATACGCTAGACTAAAGACTGAATTAGTTGTTTATTGCTATTACCGTATTTTGAACAATTAATCCTGATAACTCTTGTCAGATCATCTATGAGATATATTGAGCTCATTAGGTGTTATACAATGGTTTTTTGTCAGCATTAAGGTATGAAATCCCGTGTACACTATCATATATCGACTAACGAGATTAGCTTGGCAGGCAGTTAATTAGTGATTCGTTGCGAACACACCACCTGCTTCGTAAAATAATTGATCTGGATATTCGAACACTTTAGACTGCTACACAACTTTAAAAACACTCTGATCTTGTATTAAGTATTCGAATACAAACGCTCATTTTAAACTATACGTATCAAAATGAATCCCAGAAGTCTGGACTCTTTCTGGCATATACCCTTAGTCTCAAATAGGCTTGCACCGATTATAATCAAGTTAGAGCTTTTCGTCGAAAAGTGATTGAGTCACAAATAGAAAATATGAAGGCTTCCGCCATAGTTCATCATATAGAAAAATGTTTGCTCTATAAAACTCAGTTGTTAGAAAAATTTTACTATGGGTACTATTTTTTCATGCAATCCGTTTCAGAAAAAAATATGAGATTTATCGGTTATAATCGGTGCATGCCTAGTCACAAAGTCTCGGATCCGCTTCAACGGTCACGATATGTAAAAGCTATCAATCAGTCATGTATCTAACTCTGTATACAACACATTCTATGTGAGAATTAATTGCACCTATTTTTCACTTTTCTGCGTGTTTCCACAAAAAGGATATTTTCTTGCGTTAAAACGCGTTTATGTTACGCATCATTACACAGCACTATTAGAAGTGTGTAAGTAAACGTTATCTTCTTTTTTTCATAAATTTATGCATTTAAAAACAGAATGACATGAAAAATGTACGAGAAACTCGTTTTACTGTGTTAAACGGATGACATTCATTTTTGGTACCACATGATCGTGCAATTTCATGCGGAAACATTAGCGATACAACGCGTTTATCAACACTCGAATTCCTACACGGAATATCTACGAAAATAGGGTCATGTCTGTAAATTGAGACAAAAATTATCTTCCGTTTGAATAATTTTCATTGTTGTTGTTGTTGAATTGATTTTCTCTCCTATTTCTCTGGTAGAATCTATAATTAAATGGGCAGATGAAAAAATTTGTTGTTATTCAAGTGAGCAATCGACTTTAATTGTTGGGAGAATAAAGTATGTTTGAAAAATGTCAAAGTAAAGAAAAAAAACGAAGAATAAGAAGTGATATATGACGTGACACGACTAATTGTCCATTAACAAACACAAAAAAAAAATCAAAAATCGTTTTATTGTCATTAATTTAAAAGAGCTTCAAGTTCATCTATGTGTTTCTACTTCATACTATCATGGTGACATGATTGTACATAATCTTTGACGTGTACGATTGATGAAAATACTTCTTTATAAAGATATTCTTTTTGTCTTTTTATAACGAATGTTTTCAGTCTCTCTAACACTCAAAGTTTCCTAGACCAAATTACTTTCAAAAATATATCCATTTTTCATCTCTTATTCTATGAACACATGAGAGAGTCGGGCAAAAAAGTTAATTGATCTACACGTTTTAGTATTAATTATGGAGACAAATGCCCATAAATTTTTGTCAATTAAAAATGAATGTTGTTTCTTTTTTTGTAGCATTTTATTATTATAGACGCTCTTTTGTTATTTTTTATTCACCCCTCGTAAATGTTAGTGTATTGTGCAATATAGTAAAAAAAAGAAAAAAGAGAAGAAAAAAAAAAAAGAGACGGAAGTTTCTTATCTAAATGATTTTCGATCAAACATATCCCATGGGATATACATATAAAATAAGGAAATGCAGCAGCAATTAACTTAACCTTTCTTCATTCTCTCCTCTATTCATTAATTGATAATGTCATGTCTCTCTCTCTCTTTCTATATATATATCTATATATATATATATGTATATTCTTTATTGTTCATTCACCCGTTCATGAACTCATAATAATTATCTTGAAGCCCAATAAATTGTTAACAGATGTCGTCTGTAACTTGTACAAAAAGATATAGAGATTTTAATAGTTAAGATTAAAGTATATGAAATGCATTACCTTAAAATAGAAAAGAAAAGAACAACATTATCACTTCATCTCCGTTATATAGTGTTTGCGTGCTAGAAAAGAAAAGAAAAGAAAAAGAAAATCTTTCTGGCAACATTCTATTTCCTGCTTCATCGCCACTTAAATAAGATTAAAATGCATGAATGTTTAATTCATTATTTATAATTAATTTTTTCATAAGAGGTAGTCTTTGTACACGAAAAATATTAATTATTTTTGATAATATATGAATTTCAGCTGAAAATGACTACAATTATTTATCCGTTCATTGATATAAACTAGCCTATTTTGATAGTTTTATATGAAATAAATTTCTATATGCTTGTTGCCAAAATTAATCACAAAAATTTTCATTATTCTCTGTTCATGGTGACTATTAATGTATGTTCAAAATGGATGAAGAATATTTAATTTATACTAAAGTAACCACGTTGTTCAGATCAATAATGGATTCCTGATTAAATTCAGCTCTTATGAAGTGATCTAGCTTACAATCATGATTATCCATCCATCCTCTTTAGTGTGACATAAGTGTTGAGTGACACAGAAAATCTGTTTTTCGTGTAATCAACAAATTTCATCTTTAATTTTTCTTTGCCACTGTCACTCAAGTCAATAAAGACATTCTCTTATCATCACGGTTGCCAATTTTATATACATTGTCTGTGTATAAGTAAAGTGAAATTGATCAACAGTAGCCTGAAAATTTGATGAATGATTATGATAATATGCACTGTTTGTGTTCTAGTCTTTCATGCTGTTTAAAATGTATTATAATCATCTCTTTTCTCTCTCTTTTTTTCTCTCCATTTGTTTTATCCTTCAACAGACATAAAGAATAAAAAAATGTTCATCATGATCTTCTATAGATAAGTCGACTGAGTGAAACAAAAGCAGACATACTACTTTTCATATAGAAAAGTTTCTTCCTCCCTCTTTCTCTATTGGCTATACCTAATCATATACATTTGTGATCATTACTTCCGATAACTTTACCAGTTTTCATAATATAATGAATATCTTCTCAATATTCTTTTTAAAATTTTTGCGTGTATTCTACTCTTTTATTTTTTTTATGATTGTCATTTTTACTTCGACATAATAATCTTTGC